ACGAGCTGGTACAAGACGGAAACACACCGACCGCGTGGTGGCCGAGACACGCTCGTTCGCCGGCGATAACCTTGGCTCTCTCTCTCTCTCTCTCTCTCTCAGATCGTACACCCACCGAGTTTACGACACGAGTCCCGAGTATCTCGCTCGCGTAAAGGGTCAGAAACGAAGAGTTCTGATAAATGCGACTGGCCGCGTTACGGCCAATTAATTAATGATATTAGGAGATCAGAGAGCAAGAGAAAGGGAGAAGATATTCGCTTAGATACAATCGCGCGAGTCTACATGTGCGGTTGCACAGGATCCCGCGCGCGAACCCGTGGAACATATTAAATTACGCCGAGTTTATCTGATACACACCGGTACGAGGGAGAACTTCGATAAACAGATCGAATTACTAGACCGCTCTACGACGAACGTGAGATATGTTATTACATGTATTGCCGAACCCTTGTTCCACATGTGGGAACGAGGCAGGAGAAAGAGAGAGAGATGCGCCCTTTCTAGTCGAATTAAATCATCCCCCGTCTCCCTTTTTGTTATTCAGGACGAGTAACGAGTCGGGATACGAGCCCGTCTCTCAGTGGCGGTAACATCGCACGGATACACGCGAAATACTTTATTACCCGGCACGATACGATCGAGCTCGTTACCTTTAATAAGGTCGACTCGCGGGGCATAAAATCGCGAGGGCATAATAACGGCGTCGGGCGAAAGCGGGCCCCGCTATAGCAATACAATATGGCGATTGTAGGTGGATGTGCGATGCATCATCACTTGAAATACTCCGCTATCAACGTTGCGCCGTTGCGCGCGTGCACGACGTGTGCGAGGAGTAAGATGCGAGATTTAGCGCTCGTCAGGATCGTTCCGTTCCAGTTTTAACGCCGGCGGCGTCTCAAGCCGCTCAATAGATTCTCGTGCATTAATTAGTCTCTCGCGACTAACTACAGCCTCTCTCGCACAGAGTCGCGCGGAATCAATTTGTTTGTGGGCTAACCACAGCAATGATCGGAACACGACTTTGAAAATTTGTTGATCATTTTGTATGTAACACGACGAATGATCGGCGATGACGATGGACATTGTGAATGATCGGCGACGATGACGATGACAGGATGATGTTGGTGATGATGACGGTGATGTCATGACGAATGGACGGCAACGATGGTGATCCCTTACAAAATATTTCACCGTTTTTATTATTCATATTGACTTGTTTTTCACCCATTCTATTAATTTTATGCCTGTTTCTTGCACAGGTGTGCGCAGCTTAATCAAAGCACTCGTTTTTACAGAATATAGGCCGCTTTTCGACTCAAAATCAGGCTTATACTCTCTCAGCCGAATGCACGCTTTTCCTACTCAAAGTTTTTGTGAACTAAGAACGGTGAAATATTTTCGTAAGGGATAACAGAATGCTGACGAACACTCCTGCCAAAGCCAAGCCTGAGATCAAACATAAAATACTTTAGACTAATGAAACCTTAATACAAAACATTTTGAAGTATCTTCAAGTGAAAGGACGTTATATTCATTAAAAAGGAATAAATATCGAATTTCTGAGCTGAGGCTTGTTTTATGTTATTGTCATATTAATAATACTGTCGCTCGAGAAATCATTGTAACCGAAAGATAGATGGCCCGGCAAACGAAGGACCGCAATGAGATCAAACTCATTATTAAATTTGAGTTCGCATCGCGCAATCACCGTAAATAATCGCCCACGTTCGGCGATGCGGCTTATAAATTTCGTACGGCTATTACGCGAGTCACTTAAAACGCGATGATATAAATTAAAAGACTGCCGTATGACGATTGATTGCGGGCCGCTCCTTTTTTGGCTCCATGTCCTCCTTTTCTTATTTCTTTTTTTATATTTTTTTTTATAACTCCCGTCTCTCTTGAATAACCCATCGCTTATACGATAATTCTCGATCGCGGCGTGTTTTCGCGCAAATCTAAATATAAGGTCTATGCTCATTTTTATCGATAAAAGTGAATTAAAAATATAGATTTAATATTTGTTTCTACCATCATGGCTTAAATCTAATCGGCGATCAACCCAACGGAATTGACAATCGCATTAGCTAATCAGCTGAACTGATTGATGCGATTGGTCAATTCGAGCCAATCGTCGATTAGATTAAAATCATGATGGCTAAAACGGGCGTAAGAAGAGCACCGTCTCGAAAACAAACGTCAAGTGCCGAGTACTCGTCTCTCGTGCCAGGAATCGGCGCAGTCATCGGGCGAGAATGAATTTCAACGACGACACTATTTCACGTCGCTCCGAAGATAATCCGTTCTCGTTTTACTCGCTGCTCCGCAATATTTTCCGACGTTAATAAGTGCACGAACGACGCGACACACGCGCACATATATGTCTACGAGAGAGGGCCGCGTATATGTATAATATATGGCGCAAATAGATTGAAGCCTACTCTCGCCGTTCGGCATGAACAACGACTCTTCGGCATCGTCATGTGCCGTGCCCTAATATGGAAGCGGCGCTCATTTGGCGCGTTCGCGTTTTACAGCTGAAATGAATTTATGGAAAGGCCACCTCTCTTTCCTCCGCCCATCGGAGAAGCAAGAAAGAGAGAGATAGAGAGAGGGGAAGAGAGAGAGAGAAAAAGAGAGAGAAGCGGCGGCCGCCATGGCAAACGCCGACGAAACGATAAATTTACCCCTTACCGGTTCTTCCGACGCTAAATAGATGACCGTGCTGCCGTCCTTTGACATAAACACTCGGCATAAATTCATCAACCGCTTGACCGATGCGCCCGTTGCAACGCCGTCGTTTGTGTCCTTGTGTACGATCGTGGTTTCCTCACCAGCCGCGATCACGGAGGATTATACTTTTACGCGTTACTCACGAAAACGGGCCCGTGTCAACTACCGTCGGTGAGACACGGAAATTGTGGAACAGAATGCTAAAAAGGGTCCGATCGTTTACCGACCAAAGACGCGACGCTCACGGCGGACATATTGCGACTACGGCAATAACTGAATATGGCGGGAAAAACGAAGCTCCGATTCATCATGGCGGCCGATTGCGCGGCAGCGAATTCGGTCACCTGCACTACACCGGATTAGTGAGGTACACTAAAGGTCGCTACATCACGTACCCAAATATAATGACACAAAATAAACACTTTGACGTATATAATAAGAAACATTTTGTACTTGTGTGGAAATTGATTCTTGTTAACATTTTTACATTAGATTTTTAACATACATCTTGTGTTAATTTAACATATTCTGTTTATGTTATCTCAATATATATTTTATGTTCAGTAGATATTCAACATGTATAAGTGTTAACACGTTTTATACTGAAGTGTCGATTAACACATGTTATGAGCATTATATATAATTTTAATATTTGATTATAATTATTATTCATGTATAACAGCCTTTAGCACGTACTGATCCGATGTGGCGTGGATGATCGAATTCGCTGTAATTTCCAACGCAAGGGGGTGAATTCAAATGGCGAGTCCATTTTTGATACCTCAAACTCAGGCTTCGATCTGACTGTGACAGTCGCCTCATCGAGAACGAAGAGCTCGTCGGACAATTTGAGCTTGACGTCGCGACGTGACGCGAAGATCTGCGAGCGCGATGATCGCGCGAGGATTGCGCATCGGAAGGGAACGAGACCGAACGAGCCGCGAATACGCGAACGTCCAGCTTATTTACTTTCACAACACGACCGCTGGCGGGCGCGTGTCAGTGGCTGTAAGTTATGGCTGCACGTACAACAAACATCGGCTCAACTGGCGTTATCGCGCAACCGTGTGCATATAGGACGAACCCCGTAATTATGGTTGACCGGATATCCTCTCGATTTCGAACGCGCTAATCGAACGCCATCGTGCGTCTACGCGCCGAACTAAGAGGTGCGTCACGCGCGATTCAAAATGAATTCATTTCTGTGCGTTCCCTGTTGAAAATTTCCAAGTGGATTCCCACAGAAATCCAACGGGACTCGCGTGAATCCATATAGAACTTTAAAAATCCAAGAAAAATCCACGTGAATTATAACTACCTAAGACCTGGTGGTTTTTTGGCACAAATCGCCAGAAGCAATCGTGCCGATCCCATAAAGGATTTCATATACGGATTCCCACCTGGTTTTTTCTTTTCATCAGAATTGTGTCTCCCGATCGTTTGATATCTAATAATCGCGAGAGCTGTGAGAAAAAGATGAAGAAAGAGAGAAGGAAAAATATCGTGAACAAAGATTTCCCCGCACGGCGAGAGGCCTCGGTAAACTGGTTTGCATCATGAATTCGGTGTTAACCAAATCTGCATGAGAGATTATCGCGCGTCGAGCACTGACGCGACGCTGACGCGCGAATTAAAGCCAGACGAGTTTGACGGCGATAGAGTAAAACGCCAACCGGGTCGGACACGAGACAGAACCGCGTAGGTGTCGGCGACGATGATGGAGTGAAAAATGGACATCGCGAGGAAACGGACATACGGTAATTCATTCGACGTGGTAAACGAGTTGAAAGCACGGCGCGCGGAGGTAATTAATTGCGCTCACGCTTAGCGCGTACCGATGGCGACTAGTTGTAAATTCACGTGATGGAAACGCTCGACGGGGCGAGTTTGGACGTGCTTTCTATCGCGCGTGTGTGTGTGTGTGTCTCGCCAGGAACGGTTCAGGCGCAAGTTTCGAATAAGCCACGATCACGTACACGCTGCCGCGGGCGTTAAATTATTAATCGACCCGGAAAGAGAGGTCGAAAACGCTTATGGATTCTTCTACGGGTTGCCAGTGCCCGGCGCTTACCACATTCTTCACCCTGCAACATGTGTCTCTAATAAATTAAAACTACATATATTTTCCTTTCCTATCTTACATGCTACGCAGAACCTCTCTTGCTTCACCTTTTCAACCTTTGCGCTCCGCGTGAGGACTCGACTCGCGCTACGTGTATCGACGACGAGACTCTAATACGAGAATACTCGCTGCTCATCCGCAGGTAGTAGGGAGGCAGCTTTCACGTACGCGATAAGCTCGGCTGGTGTCACATACGCGGTGACCGCGGCTTGCAGCCGCGGCAACATCACGGCCTGCGGTTGCGAACCTGCAGTCAGGTAACTGTAAATAAACCGCGAGGGCCCCCGTGACGAGGGCGCAGGACGCGTAAAACTGCTATCAAACGATAATCGCATCGCTTTTGCAGGACGAGAAAGGAATTGCCGGCGAACGGCTGGGAGTGGGGCGGCTGCAGCGCGGACGTCACGTACGGGATGAGGTACGTTGATCGAGGGGATCGCTAATTAATCCATTCCCGGCGCATTCTTGCCGCCAGCCCCGACGACGCCACGCGTCACGTGGCGCGAGGCGCTTAGATACGCGTAAATTTTAATATTATAATTTAATGTTAGGTTCGCGCGCAGGTTTCTGGACGCGAGGGAGATCGAAGGAGACGCCCGGAGCTTGATGAACCTTCACAACAACAAGGCCGGAAGAAAGGTAAGGGAAAGGGAGGCGATCGATCGCGCGAAATCAAACGTGTGTGCACTAAGAGAAAAATATCTAAGTAAAAAATATTTATTTATTTGGTGAGTATTAATAGTATACTAATAAACATGTTTTTACACTGATAACCTTTTTTTTGAAATGAGAGAATATACATTTTCTTAATTCTGTAGCTCTTTACGAAAACAATAGTTTATTTTATTTAAATAAAACAGATTTAAGTAAATATATTATTAGTGCCTACCTGAAATTTGCTAAGAAATATTGAAGTAATTATTTGCTTGAATCTAGCAATTTTTTTTCCATGCGCTAACAATATAGTAACACTTACTAAAAAAGTGATTCTCTTGACAATATTCATGCGGTTATAGTTAGAAATATCAAAAATGTTTTCTCTCAGTGCGCAAAACCAACAACAATTTTCTCTCGCGAATGGGACACGGACGCGCGATACGCGCCGACGTTCAAGCAACAACTATGTAATGAGCGTCATAATTGCCGTGAAGCAATACTAATTACTGTAACTCACGAGGGAAATCGTTTAGCGCGATGATCAGACACGGCGGCGTTCGATGACACGGCATCGGCTGCTTCTCAATCATCGTCTTTCGTATAATTACACGCGCGATCTCGTTATTGTGCGAAAAACGTAGCCTGCAATCGTTACCTAACTAACCGTTTCGTCTAACGCTCGCGGACTCGCGATGAGTTACCTGCCGTTCGTCTGTTACCGAGGACCGACTCTACATAGAAATATACGCGAAAATTAGCGTCTATAATGTCTCGCGACGGAAAATCCGCGATCGGATAACGAGGTAGTAATACCGATAATGAGGCGAGCACCTCGCTCGGGCCAGCCACTCCAGCCAGACGCTATCAAATTTGATTTATCGCCCTATAACCCACACGGGGAGCCAATCACCCCGGAGAAGACAATGTCGTCGCGTCGCGATTCATGCCTCCTCGTTCACCTCGCGCGTCTTCCTCGACATTTCAATCGTTCCTTAACGCGAGATCCTCACGCGAATAGTCGTACATCGTGACGATGATATCGACGCTCCGATGTCGCATTCTGCGGCTTCAAAATTCACTTAAGATAGTGATAGCGCTGAAAATATATATATGATAAATTTAGTATTTATCGAACAAAATTACACGTTCCTATACATTTATTTCACTATTTAAATAATAAATGTTAATTTGAAAGGAAATTAAGGTAGACAAAACTGTCAATAGTTCTAACATTCTTATATAATGTCTTTATGCTAGTCTTTAATATCACAGAAATCTTTCGTTAAAATCCTAAATAAATATAGTAGAAGAAATTGAAAATAGAAGATAAAAATAGGACATTGATCTCGAGGAATACGTATAAAAGGTGTCATTTTCAGTTGCGAATATCTCGGCTTTCGAATGATTTCTAATTGCGCCAATAATTAGATCATATTTAAATCAACATACAGTGCAAGTTCCAACGGAACCTTAAAAAACTCATTTTACGCCACTACTACTTTAATTAAAACGACTTCACACTGTGAAACGATAAAAAACGATACAACGTGTCCGCGTTAGGTAGATCAAGAGAAAGAGCCGAGTGAGAAATTTCCGAGGAGATGTCGAGGACTCGTGAACGGTCCCTTCGGATTTATAAAAATTCCACGTTTCTCTTCAGGACAGCTGTCGCACGGAAGGATCGTCGATCTCGGAAACGCGACGTTTATGAAAAACGGTCGCGTTATGCGCGGGACGGGACGAGAGAGAGAAAGAGGCGGCTTAATTGGGGAAAGTTTGTCGAGCTTTCGTCTTCTTCGATGTGCTTTATTACGAGTCGGCTATAAAAACTCGCTGCACACCTGTGCCCCCACGGACTCACACGGGACTAACGATTTATTCTTAAGGCTGATCGCCTCGGCGCGTCGCATACTTTATGCCCCGATGATTTTTTTAACTTCTCTCCCGCGTGCGGCACGCCGCACCGGGATAATTCGAAATGTAAACCAGTTTCCTGCGTGCGCGTATGCGCATCGTTCGTTCGCTCGGCCGAAGGACATACAATGAGGCCCCGCCGCCTCGGAAATCGGGCGAGCACGCAGGAATTTACAGATGAGTACTCGATACGATTACGATCGTTTAAGATCACTCGGTCGGTTATTCGAGTTAATCGAGCCGCGTCTCTCTCTTTCCCGAGGCGTGTGCCAGTGGTGCAGTTACGCGGTCATCTTCAGGGAACATTGTATTTCGATATTTCGACCGCGTACGGGAGTGGAATCGTTGGATTCTGAGTGACATCTAAACTATCCTTCTCACGAATACTTTGAAAATAAGGCAACTCTATCGCGCTATTGGATGCTATTTGTCTCAAAATTCGAACAACGTAACATTGTCTGATACAATGGAATTTGGTACAATTCTCTAACTATGCGTGAGTGCATTTTTAATTTGATTTTTTTCCCATGTACGGTGTGAGAGGGACTATTGTAAAGACGTGATTGCACGGGAGACCGAACATCCGCGAGTGAATTATCCGTAACATTGTGACAATCGGAATTCTACGCCATTGAATCCCTTTGTTGGGCCGATGCGTATCTCCTTGTCCTTTGATAATGATTCAGGGTATCGGGCGACGCATTCGTTTTCATCGGGCGCATTATAAGTTCTCGTTCCCCGAGACCAGAGGCTACGGCCGGGCAGATTTGAAATTTGCATACGACACGCGTGTATGATGTAAGGAACAAATCGCGATACACCGTGCCGAGTGCATTGCGACCGTACATCATCGGGTACAAGTTGTAATCCGTTTCGATATGATATGCGGGATTTGTTTCGAGTTTGCGCGCATCCACGTTTGTTCCCTTCGAATTACCGGTGAGAAATTTTTTCCAATTGAATGAAATCAATTATGCATATGTAATAATATAATCTGAACGTCTTTTACTTTCGTCCCGTTTTTCCTAGGCAGCTACTGATGTTTTTCGTCGCTTTATTCAAGGAACGTCGCAAAAGATACGCACAAAATCTCAATCGTCGTTCATAAATTGAAGATCGATAAATCATGGTGTTATTAATGCGAACGTGTTCCTCTCTTTCCAGATAGTTAAAGCTCTTCTACAAACGGAATGTAAATGCCACGGTGTCTCCGGATCGTGCACCGTGAGAACGTGTTGGAGAACGTTACCTAGTTTTCGCCAGATCGGTGACGCGCTGATGAAAAAGTATTACAGGGCTCGTCCGGTTATCGCCGTTACGCCGCCTCCCCCTCCAACGGTACAGGTAACTCTCACTTTTAAATATTTATCGGATAAGTCAGCTGGCTGATTGCGAACGTAACTCGATGTCGCGGTCACTCCAATATCACGTTCTGCACCTGGAATTCGACGAAAATTGCTTTAGCTTGCATTTTGAATAAGAAGCATTATAGTTTAAAGGTTCCGAAAAACCCCCGTTTCTCCCCATTTTTCCGCGGGTTTCTTCGCGGATTTGAGTCTCAAGGGTACAAAAATTCGTTTAGAAAAATTCATGTGTGTTCGGTTAAAATCTGAAAAATGTATCGTTTTCCGTAAAGAAGGTAGGAAACAAAAATAATCCGCGGAAAAATGGAGGGAAAAACGATTTTCTGAAATTTTAAAATTAGAAAAAATATTCCACGTGACTAATTCGCAGACCATGGACACGCTGTCACATTCCATGTCGCCAGAAATGGTGCCCATACTGGGCAACGACGCCAAAACTCAGGGCAAGCCAGGCGATTTTGCAAAGTCGCGACACGATCGGCAGCCTTCGAAAAAGACCACTAAGCCAAAGAGGCCGCACTTGCTCATCAAGAGGACGAAAGCGAGCGGCGGTTCTGGTATGAGTCTGAAGAGGATTCCAAAGAGAAGCGAGCTGGTTTATCTACAAAACTCCCCCAATTATTGCGAGCCAGATCTGGCTCAGGGCAGCCTCGGCACACAAGGCAGATATTGCAATCGTACTAGCAAAGGTAAGAATGCGAGACCCGATAGGAAAAAAAAGAAAAAAAAGAAAAGGAAACCAGAAAAATCTTATCTACTGTGAATGTCCCAGCATAAGAAGAACATCTAGATATCTTGGAAGTCTAAATATGGAGATCTTAAAGCAATGGAAAGAAATAACCGTAAAAAGAATTTCCACGGAATCCTCCTTCGAAACCACTCAAATTATGCTCTAAACACATTTCTCATATCATTAAAAATAAAAGAGATATTTAGATGTTTTCCTTATGCTGGGACACCCTGTATATCGCGTTATATGTTGATGTGCTTTCGCAAAAAATCCGAATTACAATTTTTGTTATCTCAGACTCTTGTTGTCTTTTATATTTGTTGTATGTCTTTTATATTTGTTAAGCCGAGTTATTAATTTATTTTATATTTTATCTCGTACTTCTATCTTCTCTATTTCGATATTCGGTCAGGTTCTTGAGTGACGAGGCAATCTGCTTTAACCGGCATCACTCGTACCTATTTCTATCACGCCGTGACTCGCGCATTGGAGTCCTTCTAGCCAATTTGGTATTTCCATTACTTGTTGCTGTGCAAGTAAAGGCCGTGCAACATCTGCGAAATGTGAAGGCCATAGAATGTTAATTAAAGGAGAAAATACAAGATCGTTGGATTTTATACGACAATATGAGCAATCCTAAACAAACAAATTTCTTTATTAACGATAATATCTGTTGACAATCTCAATAATATCGTTGACAATCCATAATATCGATAATATCTGCTGACAATCTCAATGATATCGTTGACACAAAAGAACATACCTTTATCTTCAGGAACTGACGGATGCGATTTGATGTGCTGCGGCCGGGGCTACAACACACACCAATTCACGAGGACGTGGCAATGTAGATGCAAGTTCCACTGGTGCTGCCGTGTTCACTGCGAGACCTGTACCGAACGAACTGAAGAATACACTTGCAAATAACAACATCACGACATGCAAAGTGTACATTTACACATACATATAACGAATGTAACATCGATTCGGACGAAACTGCGCCCCGATAAATAAAAAGGGACCGACTTATTGAGACTACTGTTTACATTTCTTGTTGTCGCAAAAAGAAAAACAATACGCCGAGAGATATGATATGCGTAAAATATCTTACTCTGAGTAGAAATAACCTTGTTCGATGAGTGTATTTTAGCGATCTGCTTGAGAGACGAAAGTGGACCGTATCAGATGCTTAAACCGTATTAGATTCTTATAGATGCTGAATATAGGTGTATCCTGTGTAAAGTTCGACAATCTATCGTTATTTTCTGCCACTTACCCTCACATTTATCTACGTTCGAGCTCCGACGCCTCGTATATCAATATAGGCATCATGATAATTGGCGCTTTGAACATCGCGCGAATGTTCTTTAGATATCGATATGCCGCGTAAATATGATCGAAGAAGTGTACGTTAAGTGTACTTTATAAGTAGCTTGCGAATATGTTCTCGTAAGATTAGCGATGCGTATAAATAATAAGAACGCATTACCAAGTTTCCTTCAAATTAATATTCAGAACAATCTTTCCTTCCCCTCCCCTCCCCGGTGTTTTATAGACTTTTCATCATACTTTATATAGAAATATACACACACACACACACACACATATATATATATATATATATATATATATATATCTCGTAAATTATTATTTATTAAAAGCGCACCATATAAATTATACCCCTGTACGTAAGTAATATTTGTTTCTTGGCTGATTAATAAAATACAAAGATATTATGCAAGCATTTTTGTGAATGTCATTGTGATAAACTTTAATATGTCCCCATTTACCTGAGAGTCTCCATTAAAGAACAGTTTTTGTTTTGTAAATAAATTAATCTTTTATACTAAGTGTAAAGAAAGTAGTGCAAAAATTTGTGCACAGTTTCGATTGATCGATAGAGACATTGGCAATTCAAATAAACGAAATTACATCTTTAAATCAAGTGACCGATGCGTAAAGGCTTTTGCACTTGAGAAATTTCTAGTTGTAAATCCGTAACAAAATTCATCAATCATAGTTGATTATTCTCCTTGCGAACGAAAAATAATCAACTGTGATTAGTCAATTTTTTACGGATTTACGGTTGTGACTAAAAACTTATTACGTGCAAAAGTTTTTACAGTCGGTAAAAGTTGGTGATGTAAAGTCACTAGATATATAAAGTACCGCAATCATGGACGTAAGATGGTATTATCTATGCAAGCATTGCTGATGTGCCGATTGGCGGTCAGATAGAGAATTTCTAGAGTATCTAGAAAAAAATTTAGGGACCCTTAAAATTCTCTATCCAATAGCCAATCAGAACATTCGACAATATTCGTTTGTTATTGGCCAGATATAAAAGTTACTAAAAATTACTGGAAATCCTAGTACCTTTCAAATATCTACCAACATAAATATTAGATCTCTGTCCGATTTCCAGCATCGTAGACATAAAGCCTTAAGCCCATATCAGGTTAGTATTAAGTCACACATGAGTGAAGTGAAAGAGCAACTAATAGCACAACAGTGGTTTGTTTAGTATTGTGCGACTTGTCTTTTAAAATTGGCATTAAATAAACTATTAAATAAATTATGCCGAAGGTTGTGTCAAGGAGCATTATATGCTCTGATACAAAAGATCAGGAAGAATATAGTGAGGAAAAGCCATTGCATATATATTATTGTTTGTGTGGACAGATGACACTTATTTTAGGTTAGTATTGTTTATACACCAGGTAAAAGAGATGCATAAGATACGACATTATGCGCTTAATATCGCTTTGGCTGTTAGGAAACAATGAAACACTTGCATGTTTATAAATTTTATGAATTTTAATTTATAGATTGTGCCATTGAAAAGTTACCGCTAAGAAAGAAGGATGGAGCAAGAGTTATTGATGGCAGTAAACATGCCCATAAAATGACCTCAGAGCGAGACGAACTTGTGTTTCTTAAGCGTCTAGAAGGAATCGAAAAGCAATATAGACAGAAGTGTAAAAAGTACGAACTATTTTTTATCACTATATTGTATCATATATATATTTTAGATAATTATACATACATATATTTTCCATTAACCATTTCAAGAGTAATTAATAATTTTGCATAAATATCTATAAATATCATATAAATACCAGGCGAGTATTTCATGGGAAATTTGTGAAATGAATATTTATTAATTATATGTCTCGGCAGATGTGGCTTGTTGCTGTATTACAAGCATGATCCAGCAGCAAATATAGTATTTATAGTTAAAGGTTCTGTGATAAAAAGTTCTGGAGAAGGTCCTATGACAGATATTTATAATCAAGTGGCTATTGAGAAGCCTAAAAAGATAATGGTGACAAAACATACTAAGAACATGGGAAAGTTCAGTTCAGTCACTGTATCTACAATTGATGAGGAAGAAGATGAAATTGAAGCTGTAAGTTGGTCACATTATGTGATGTGTAACACATACACAAGTAACATCACATTTACAATAAAACATTTTTCAAATTAATACTTTATGTTTTGAAAGCAAAGTATATCTTCCATTGAATATTATTTCAACTTGTGTAATTTTAATTATATCTATATCTTCTTTTTTGAAAAATGATCCTTACCATGTTTGCCATTAATTTCAGAGAGAAGTTGCTGACTCATATGCAAACAATGCACGCATCATAGAAAAACAATTGGAGAGAAAAGGCATGAATAAACGGAAAACTATGCCATCCTCTGAAACTGATTCAAAACGTGCAAGACCAAGGGGGACATTGTTGGATGTTTAATTTTCTATTGATATTGGATATAATTGTTGTACGTTAACTTAATATATATTTACTTAAGTAAATAAAGAATTATTTCTCTTTTGTATACATACAATGTAATTTTCTTATGTATTACATTTATAGTGAATGCATCTTATTTAAAACAGTTAAAACTTGTCCAGGAGCACGGTAAATTTGAAATCACACTGAGACATTTAACATTATATTGATATATTTATTAACATTACACAAAAGTAAATATTTAAAATATATAAATGACTAGATACAAATATTGCATAAAAATGTACATTGCAAAATAGAGATAGAAATTTAATAAATAAATACATCGGTTACGTGTATACACAATTTATCGATAAACGACTGCAAGCGACGTAAATTGCAGTTTTCCTACTTACGATCAGAATTAGTTGATAAAATGGCAACATCAATAATAATAATTAAACAGCATCTAATGAAAATTGATATCGGATTATTATAAAGTAATTCGGAGTGATATAGCGCGCGCGTATATATGTGGTACAAAGGAAGAACTGTCGAAACAAATCGCGTAATTGGTCGCGTTTTTTTTTTTATCTATGGACTACGAGATGCTGCATGTGCAGTACTACAAGACATTAATGTGTATATGTAGTCAAAGGTTTCTTTGTTTAAGCACATATCCGTCCATAATCAAAGATCATACTTCTTCTTCATACTTCTCACATACATTCTAATTGTGCAGTATACAGAGTGATCCAAGAAAAGTACAACTTGATACCTCATCACACGCAAATCTCTGTTCTTGTCTAAACTCTTCCTCGAAAATTTCTTGTAGAATTATCATGCAGTTTTTGCATGTAATTTCATATCCCCATACCAATTAGTTTACTAATCCTTTGCTGCACTATTGTTCTCATTTTTTACACAGGTTAAAACTCCTGTGATTCAGCTGTCTGTGTATATAAAAACACAAAAATTAATTGTGCAATCACTTGAATAGAGTGTAACGCAAATATCACTAAAACTTTTTTCTGAAGAAAAAAATGCTTAAAAATACCAGACAAAAAACAAAATTAAAAAATTTGGATTCCTTCAGAACCAATAATGAATTTTTTTCGAGCAAAAATCGAGTGCGAATTACGCGAAGAACGAAGATTTGACAAGTAATGTTTATGTTCTTTTTTCAAAGATAATCTGTATATTATTCACCAATGAGATTTTATAACCTGCGTTATTATATCATTAAATAAACAGGAAGTATGAAAAATTGTTTACTGAAAAGTTGTTAAAATTGCTCTATCACTCGAATTGTCGCTCTTAGTGCCACGAAAGATAATCATAGCACACATTTCCTAATTTAACTAGTAAATGCAGCTCGACCATGTTTCTTTAACGATAATCCCAAGCATCTTTAAATTAGAATTACATATTTCTATCTTACATATAATACGATTCCCCAATTGGAATTATCACGTTCGCAGTTACCAGCGACAGTCCTCCATCACACAATACTCATTCATTAAGTATACATAAAAAAAAAAAACTTAATGCATATTGTCGACGTATATTAACACTAGCTCGCCATATTCCGGTTCAATAGACCGCTGAACGGTTTTTAGTTTTCTAGTTTTCACGTGGCGTACTATTTTTCCCTTGAAGTATCAGGTGTCCACTAGAACGAGCGAACACTATTTTCTTTGCAAAACCATTTGAGAATTTCTGAAAATACTCTTTTTTTATAATAATAAATTAAAAATAAAAATGTTTAAACCCAAATAATCTTCTTGATCTGATATCATAAACATCTTATTCGGACTCTATATATCCCAATTTCCAACAATACAAGCTTAAAAATACTAATTAGAACGAAAATGACAAGGCGACAAAGTCGAGCGGTCTCACGGACCGAAGTGTGACGAATTAAAGTCTCGAAAATAAGTGTAGCTAACTAAGGTTAAATTCATTAAACGTATTAATGAGAATGTATTAAAACATGACAATGCAGGAGTACACAAGTTATAAAACACCGATGACGAAAAAATCATGATTGTTAACTTAATTAGAGGAAATACTATGTAGCCACTTTTGTAAAAAAAAAAAAAAAAAAAATTTCCCTTGGAATTATTTGTATAAACATGACGCACGATGCAAGATAATTTCACTAAATATCTTACAAATTTCATATAATGACTTCTTCATGTTAATGAAATCACTCTGGCGATAATATATTTAATACTCTTAGACAACAGGTTTTTTATAATGTGCGATACTTCCCAGTATGAGCACATAGATAGAAATATCCCGTCGACAATGCGCATACCTACCAATTCGATTATCCAGCCATTAATAGCATTAAGTATTGATCTGCGACGACTTAATATCTACCTTCTTAAGTATCGTGGGTTCATCCTTGAGAAACGTGCCTGATCTCGAGCCCACTGTGGGTTGCTTCTGCGTCTCGCCGTTATGGCACCTTTTCACCTTGTCCTCGATCTTACCGTTGACCGTTCTCTTGCTGGTGACGATTGTCGATTTGTTCGTCTTACTGGCAACGCTGGACTTCGGGGAGGATCTCTTGCTGGGGCTGTCGGAACTTTGCGAATTCTGCGTCTCCTTCCTCTCTCTCCTCGTATTGGGAAGAACGTTCGATTGCGCGATCTGCCGCGCCCTGAAGGGGGTCACCGTGTTCACCGGTTTGCTAGGAACGTCTGGCGTCCTCGCAGCATCCAGCAAGCTCCTCCGCAAACTCGGTGAACCGTGATACGCGCTGATGGCGGCGGCCCTGCTGCGACTGGCGGCGGTGGAGCTTTCCAGCGATCTCGGCGTCCTCTTGGTGACTGTTAATGGGCTTCTCTGCTGCGTCGGCGGCGAATTTTTCTTCATCCTGCCGTTTGTAGACCGGTAAATAAGATTAACACGATTAACGTAAGTCCGCGCTTCATCATCCTGCGAGGGTCGATAAGTACAAAAATTTATCCTATATCTCACCTATCGTAAGCTTGCGTCTTGCTCGCGACTTTCGTCAACGTAGGCGACAGTTTGTTAGACACAATGGACTTGGGAGTCGCCGTTATCTCCGTCATAAGACTATCGGTAGACATGGAAGTGTCCATCTTGTTAGCGGTCTTTTTCTTGGTGGTGGTCATCGGCTTGCTCTTGGTCTCCAAGGAGTCGACCGATAAGCCTATTTCGGTGCCTTTCTGTTTGAAAGTTGGGGACTCGGGTCTCGTAATACCACAGCTCTTGCTAATCAGATCTCTCTTGTTGCCGGTTCGACCCGCGTTTGCCTCCGTCAGGCTATCCGACGAGAGGGCCTTTACGTCTTTCTTCACCGGTAACTTGATTTTGGCCAGTGGTTTCTTGTCAGACGCACGTTTCATCGCTGGACTGGAAGTGCGCGACGAGTCCGACGACGAGATCATAATCTTACGTCGTGGTGGCACGTTGATCTTATCGTGATGCATCGTAGGTGCATTCTCCTTCGGAACTGACTTGTTTCTCGGTTCCAAATACCTGGATTTCACCTGTAATTGTGTGCACTAATCTCAAGAGTTTTATCGTAGTAAAAATTATACATTCGTGAAACGATACCCTGACCTGGTACACTTTTATATATATATATCTTAGAGCTTGCAAGACTTACCTCTATCTTGTTGGGCCACGATTTTGGTCTAATGGTTTCGCTAGTAACTTGCTTATCCTCTTGCATTTTACGCTCAAGCGGATCCGTTTTCGGCTTACATAGGACCTTCTTCGTTGGTTTGGGCATTGGAGCTTGGGCACTAGTTTGCTTCAAGGTTTTGTCATTGTGTTCCGAGATCGCCATTTTGAAGCGTTTTAAATCTAAACTGCGACTTATCGTCGAGCGATTAGGTGGTACACGAGACTCCTTCGATGTGGAGAAACAAAAAGTACGATTTTGTCAGAAAAAAGTTTTGTGGAAAAGCTAGAGATAATAGTGTTAAAAAAGTCAAGCAATTAATTTTAGTACTTCACTTTCCGACTCTACATACAGCAGGGAGAAGATGATGCTTTTTTTAAAAGAAGTAATACTTGCTTTTGAGAAATTCAACGGTCTAGATTGGCGCTTCGAGGTCTCGTTAGGCAAGATCACGATGCATGCCAGTTCTTGTATCCTCCTGCGAAGCTCCAAATCCATCTTCAGCCACGTGGTGGTCCTTGCAGCATGTGCTGCGTCACGTACCAGACACTTCTCCACGCGACCTTGGAGTTTGTGCAGGAAATCAACGAACAACGGTCCCCACTTGATCCGATCTTGAAGATCTTCCGCTTGCGACGCGATCAACATTTTGTTCAGCTTCGAGTAACTCTTGCACGCTTGCTCGGGCGGCAATTGTTCGACAGCCGCTAGAAAATTATCCTCTAGGCGGCTGATGTTCCACGTCAGTTCGCGGCCGAGTGACTGGAAATTCTCATTCCCCAGGACACCCACGAAGTTGTCCGACAGGAATTTCACCGACTTCTCTAACAATCTCGACACCAGCCGAAACACCGGCTCTGCCCACCGTACATTGGGCAAGGTCGCCAATAATTTGTCGCAGTCCATCATAGTTTGAAGTACATTGTCGGTGGACTGAACGAACAGAAGAATTGCAATTAGCAGAATGCTGGAAAACGCTGGACTGTTTTGTCAATTTTCAGATTTTCGTAGAAAGAAATTTTCACGATAGACGATGGAAATTCGGGTGGCAACTTACTATAAAACGAGATATTCAACGCGATTCGCACGTATATATTTATCGACATTATAGTTGATATACAGTTTTTCTACATGCATACCATGTGCACTATATGTTGACGATAACACTTCTCCATGAGTTCTCTCGGAAGAGTCGCGAACGCCTTGCACGGCCATATTCGTACGAAGTGCTTCGTAACCCATCTCAGTGATTTTCGATACACTTCATCCAGACCATACGCTGCCGCTAACGGCATGCACTCTAACACTCCAACAGCACATATCTGACAAGGCTGAAAGATAACAGTGACATTACAATTTTAAACTTCTTCAGGCAGATACCTATCAAACGTTTAATAACTTAATTTTTTTAATAAAAAGAACGTTATCTATTTATCAAATTTCTACAGGATATAATATAATATTACACACGCACCTTGTGAAACAAATGACAATATTTAAGCTTAAGCGTGTATTCTATAACTTCTTTGAGACCTTCTAAACACAACATATCAGCCAACGTCGCTAATTCAACGATACTTATAGAATCTGGTATATTACTTTCTCCGCTGTAGATATGACATAATGCAAAATGAACTGCATTGTAGGAATATCTGTGGAATAGAATTATAAGCAGATTCACAAGTTAGTCGTCTAAAAAGTACAATACTCGATGAATTAAAGTCTCTCGGTCCTTTTTCTTCATATAAAAAAAAAGACGTACCAAGAGGACGCCTCTCCTTCTCGATTATGCTACAGATATTGTTGACACGTACCCTTGTAGAGAAATAACATTGCCCGCACTCTCGATCCATCCGCCGCTCAGAATCGCGGCAAAGTATTGGCAACGAGAACTCAATATACATTTGTGTGCCCTTATGTGTCGGCCGGCTACGTCTATCGTAACATCCGGATTGATTTCTTCCAAGAACATCCGTAATAAATCCTCACCCAATCTATTATACGGCTTTGCGCCGGCTATACTTGATGTTTCAGTCTCCTCCGTGCTGCCTTCTAAATTCACAGGTATTTAACAAAATATACAGGATGTCAAACCATTAAATTCACAAACTTAGTGCGGAGACGTAGAAGATATCAAATTTTTACGATGGAGATCTCTGCTAAAATAAACGCTAGAACGTAACACGTAACATGAAAACAAAACGTCGTCCTGTAGAAGGAAAACAAACTACTTAAATTTCTCTGATATAACGATGTCACTTTATCTCACATTTTAATTATTTTGATAGATACATTAACATATTTTTATAAGAAGATACATAGTACTAAGCGGTACGTACCCGCGCCGGAACGCCCCATGCTGCTCTGCATGCTGCTAAGATCGGACTCCGAGATGATTCCTTCGCCCTCGCAGTCGCCGGTCAAATCCTCCAACGGGGACTTCTGCTTCGACGGGAGAGACGTGCTCATGACAGACGCGAGTTTCCTAGACACTGGTCTGATCGGGCCGCTGTTTCTCGTCATCGCCAGCTTGCTCTCTATCCACGATGTCTCCGGGATACTGCTGCTCATGCGATACGAGCTTCTGTCGTCCGTCAGCACGTCCGACGCGTGATTGACGATCGGCGTTTTGTCCAAGTCGGACAGACGCACGAAGCTGGAGCAGCTCGTCTTGCTGTCGGTGTCCAGGTGCAAGCTCTTCGAGCCACGACCGGGCATCTTCTCGTCCTTCTTCGACGCGCGGCAGTCGTTGTACTCCGGCTCTTTCAGTTCGCATTCGATCTTCTTGATAGTCTCGTTCAACGACTTGCGTGTCTCCGATATCTTGTTGCTGCCTCCCGTGGTGACCATTTGCGGTCTCTCGTTGACAACTGGAACCTCACCGTTCAGCAGATCGGTCAACTCGTACTCGTGATTGTCACTGTCGGGGGAAGGCCCGCTACCGCTACTGATGTCGAACGTCTCGCTCTTCCGCGCGCTCTGCGTGCTCTCCGTGCACGTTTTCTCCCAGGCGGACGTCTCCGAGAACTCGTCGTCGTACGCTTTCGCCTCCAGGTTCTCGGTCTGGCCGGCGATGATCTCCTTGTACTCGCGACGGTTCGCGACGCTGGCGCGGAGCTCCTCGCTCTCGATCTCCACGTGAGAGTTAGGCGGGGTGTCCCTCACGTCGAACTCGAACACGTCCTCGGTCGACGTGTCCATGTTGTTGGCGTTGTGCTCGCGCTCCTGCAACAAGGTTTTGCAATTCTTGTAGGACTCCGCCTTGGCGGCGTCGCTCAACGAGTGGCTGGACGAGCTCGTCTTTGCCTGGGACCGGCTGGAGTCGCCGCGATTGTCTATCGATATGCTGTGCGCGCGCTTGTGTTCCCTCCTGAACATCAGCTCCTTCGCCACGCAACCGTTGCTCGCCGGCTGCGTCTTGTCCACGTTCCACGAGTGTCGCTTGAACGCCGGCCGCGACGTGGACAAGGTCCGCCTTCTCACCACAGGGGAATCGGACTCGATAAACATGAAGACCGGGCCGGGCTTCTCTTTCTTCTGCTCCTGCGGCGACTGGTTGTCTACGCCGGTGGCGCTGCTATTGTCCTTCGAGCTGCTGTCGTCCGCTTTGCTGGGGATCGTCGAGAGGCTTCGCGTTGGAACGACAGCGTCTCCGCTGCTCGTCTCGCTCGTGTCGTTCAGGTCGATGAACATCGAGAAGATGTTCTTCTTCTCGACGCCTTCGACGGAAGCGCTGCCGTTCTTCGCGCGCGCCTCGGACGGCTTGGCTTTCGCGCCGTTGCTCCCGTCCTCTGAAATGTCGACGTAAAATTCGCAGTAGGGCTTGCTACAGCTGCTATGCTCGGGCTTGCTGTTCTGCTCCTTCTTCCCCTCAGTCGAAGAACGATCGCTCCCAGCTGGCTCGACGTCGCAGACGTCCTTTAGGTTGACGAAGAAACCTAAGCTACAGTGATGCTTCTCGTTGTTATTATTGGCTCTCCGCGCGGGCTTCTTCACGCACTCGGAAGTGGAGAAGCTCTGCGACATGTTACGTGGGTTGGCGCGATTCTTGGACTCGGCCTTGCTGCAGTCGCTCATGTCGACCACCCAGGCGGTCATGGAGGAAGACATTCGGGCGGGCTTCGCCTTGATCTCAGGCTTGTTCATGATCACCGAGCCACCCGACACGATCGGCGTGGACTCTGTCTTGCGGCGCACGGTGGGACTGTCCGTCGGCTTGGAGTAATCCGAAGTGCTGACGCCGCCGGAGATGATCGGGGTGGCCTCGTCGCGTTTCTTTCTCTTCACCGACTCCGCCCGATCGTTATCCTTCTCCAAGATGGAGTCCAGGGTGATCGGCAGGCTACTGCTGCAACGATTGGACGCGTCATCCGAGTCCGCGCCATAGTCCACGATGGACTTGTCGCTGGCGCTCTTCGTCACGGGGTACACGACGCACGATCTGTCGAGGTTGTCCGGCAGGTAGCCCTCTCCTCGCGGCCGATCGAATTTACAATTGTCTAACGATAAATAAGATACCGGGTACTGAGTATTGGCGGCGATCTGTACAGTGGACGCGTAGCTGATCGACGACGGCTCGGTGACCGGAGGAACTACGGTGTCGGAAAGCGAGTCCCCGTCCACGCGGTGGCCCGAGTACTGCGGAATGGAGCTTTGGAAAACCAGACTACCCTGCCGGCGCTCGTACTCCTGCCTAAGAACGGACAACTTCTCGTCGTTGGAGTCAAGCTCGAATGTGTTCCTTCTGATGAGCGACGGCCGCCTGTCCTCGTTTGCCGCCGCGACATCGCCCTCCGTTTTCTCGCCAACGCTCCGCTCGTTGCTGATCTTCGTGTTGTTGTCGGGACACGGGGACGGATGCGCGCTCTCCCCGCTGTCCGTTTCCTTGATCTCCACGGCCAGCGATTCCTTGTCCGCCGGTCTGCTCGTGACTTTCTCCTCCGACGCGGAATCCGCTCGCTTCACTTTGCGCAACTCCGGAAGCGGGTGCAGACACTCGGTGAGTTTCAGCTCCCGTTCGAACTCCGCCACTCGTTCGTGGCCGCTCTGCAAAGCCGGTGCCTTAAGCGGCGTGAATTTGCACGGCTGCTCCTCCACGGCGCTGCTCGATTTGTTGCTCGTCATGTAATCCGAGAAAAACGAAGCGAAGTGCGACGGCGGCTTGCTGGCGGCGTAGTTGTTGCATTGATAGTGATTCTTCGTTACGTTCGTAGGCACGATATCCACCACCTCGTCGTTCAAGGTGGACGCATCGATGAAGTAATAGCCACTCGTGGAGGAATTGCTCTGACTGGCCGCGTCAGCGGGACGAGCACGCTCGAATTCCGTTTTACTCGCCGACTCTGCGGCATCGGACTGCACCTTCTGATTGGATTTACACTCGACGTCAGTCTGTTCGCAATCGCCGCTCACCGAGGGGACAGACTCGATGAATTCGAAAGACTCGTTCTCGTCGCTGGCGCAGTCCGATTCATAAAACGGTTCGCTCAACACTCGGCTCTCATACTGAAAGATTTCTTCGGCGTTCAGCTTCACTTTCTGAGCATTCTCCGAGGGGTTCACAGGCTGATGTTCCGCCTCCAAGGATGAATACGTCACGCTATGGCTGCTCGACTCGGATTGAGTTACGCCGTCCCCGCGATAATCGCCGTTGTTAAGTGACTCACAGTGCTCATCGTCCATCTGAGGCTTCTTACAGTCGCCCTCCTTGTTATACGCTCGCTCATGGCGTAACCGATGATCCGGATTGTCGTCGTTAATAGAGGCGTACGCTTGTGTTACCTCCAGGTCCGTGCTGAAGTTTTCAGACGTCGTATTCTCGTGCGGACTTATCGAACCCGTCTCCAGACCGGAATCAGCCATTTCTGGCGAAATGGTGGTCGCATCCGCTACAACGTATTCCCTCACCTCCTGTAGATGCTGATGCACGTCACAACTCGACGTTAAACATTTCTCACATATTCTATAACACACACAATTTATAAAATATAAATAATAATATCTGTGTTGTGGAAAAAGTAGTTTCGCTCTCACTTGAGTGTCTTAATAGTTTAAATCATTAAAATGACTCATGTTCAAATTTCTCCAGATACGAAACAAATGGTGGGAAGAACAGAAAATACGCAACATTGTAAGGTAAAAAACAACAGAAACAAGAACATGACAAAGTAAGCAATTGCAGATCTAACCTTTCATCGGTGTGAGATGTAATGTTGGTGTTGGATTCATTTAAAAAATGACACTCGTAACTTGCGTTCAGAATAATTTCCACCAACAGTTGCTCCTCTCGAGTAAAATCCAGATTACTATACAGAAGCCTGCAATTGGTGAGGAAACGTATAAGACCAACAGCAAGTAACCGAATTGAATAAATGTGAAATAACTATAACAATGTGTCCATTTTGATACAACTGCAGTTGTAAATTCGCTTGTGGTATCTGTATAACAATATTAGATACCTACATAATCTAATAGAGCTACAGCGAGAAACCAGAAGTCTTAACTTTGATATCGAATTCTGACAGGTGGTAAAGTGGAGAGTTTAGCATGCTTATAATGACTCGGAAAGTTTTGTGCGTCACAATCAAATTTGCACACCTATATTTATCATCAGTGCACCATCATATGCAGATGTCAACAAAACATATCACATTATATAGGGTTCATTGCAAAGATCGCTTTTATATTGCACATATATTGTACAATTCTATCCTAGTTGATGACCCTAAATGACGGTGTATTTGTAAATATGTAGGATAAATCACCTAAAATGGTTATCTAAATAATTCTTACATTTAAAGGCAAGGAGAAGTGTTTTTCACAAAAAATATTTGGGATAGAAGGAATTTTATAGTTACCATAATTAGGTTCTAGGTATGTAGTCGCTTTCCCAAGATGTGACTTATTTTATATATATAATTTCAAAAATGATGATAATATATTTTTATATGTAAAATTGTAAAAACAATCGATTTATACATGTAAAGAGAGGAGAAAATAAAAGCAATGTTCCATTTCTCAAGGATGAGAGATCATTCCAAGTATTTCTTGCTTGTTTTTGAAGAGAATTGGGGCATGGAAATGTACAATTTCATGCAAATCAATCAGTCGTTTTGTCGGTTACAAATATAACTTATATAAATGCCGGAAACATGCAGAGAATTGTATATTTTTAATAGCATCACCTTTGAAAGAATATAATACTAAGTCGTGTCAGGTGAAAACGCATGCAGACAGACGTGGATAACGGAGGTATTTGTGTGTTCCCAATAATTACTGCTTCTATACATGTGATAACGATGTGGCAATACCTTACGAAGCCTTCAATCTGACGAAAAAGTCCGACTTTGTCAAGAATGCAATGGACCGTTTTGTTAGTATAAACAAAATAAGGCTTGAGAACTTCATACAAGTGTGGTGATCTTGTCCTAACAATACACTGGTTTGCTCGTATTACTTCATAACCATGTATAATATTAAGATCACAATGCAAGGAATCCGTAAATATTCTACAATAAAAGATTCTCCTTCAGTCTTGCATTGCCCCCTTACGTTTCGGTGCAATATTTTCTTTTCAGATATACAGGGTCAGGTTTGCTTTATACATATGTAAAACAGGTAGAGAGAGATTACATCTACACGATTGCAAGAAATGCAAAAGACAAAATTGTGCAACGATTGATTAAATTCGGAAGATATACATGGAATAATTTCAAGAATCTTCTGAGAAATATCGACTAGATATTTACATCACATACTTATTCTTACTTGATACCATTTCACACAGTGATACACTAACACTACAATTTATATAACATATCCTTAAAATCTCAATTATATCAGGTAGATATACTTCGTGACGCTCAACGATGCAAAAATATATGTTGATATTTGTTAAGAAAAGAAATACATTGTATAATCTCGTCTTACCTCAGTATGTTGTCTTGCAATAAGCTGATATTTTTGACAATGGTGCAATGGTATTCCGCGCTCTTTTGCTTCTTGAATCCATCACTCGAAAGTAGTCCGGGCTTTGCAGAGAGATCAAGACGATGGTGGCAATGCCACTGGTGCGTTTTGTCTAAATTTCCACTTTGCTTCCCGTCGCTCCTGCCTCCAGCCATGAGGCATGTTTACTATTTCATACTTGTCTACCTTCGGATACCATGAGATACAACATACACATAGATTATAATTCTATCAGATTTGCACACCTAATTAACCTAGTTACCTAATTATCTAATTCAAAGAATGATGCTGCTCTTCGATGCATCTTCGGATTTACGCAATTCTCAAATATTCTCTTCTTATGTCAGAACTCGACGCAGAGATCACGTTCTGCGACGGTGTCGAGTTCAATATGCGCTCATGAATATTACTCAACGCAATAACCTGGACATCGCGTCGCTAAAATCAGGCGGAACCTGCTAATGTCGTGGATTCGTTTAACGTACTTGCGAAAAACCCGAAGATAAATTACAGAAATCAGACGCGTTCGATGTCAAACGGTGAGAGCGCAGACTGTGAATATGTCAAATCCCACTTCGACTTCTGTCAAAATTCAGGTGAATCCCGTGACGTACACCTCCCGCCACATTTTTCGACACCTTGATAAATAAACCGAATGTCATCGGCGGCGCCGGAACGCGCGAAAATCACTCTCGGCGATCAATTAGCGTGAGTTTGATCTCATCTCGCGGCGAACGTTCGCTCGTTCCTTCCGAGCGCGAATTTCCCCTGCGCCGAATAATTTATTGATCGCGCATACACGTTACGTACCTCGCATTATTTCGATCCGCCGGTACGCCGATACGCGTCATCGCTCGTCATCATTCAGCCTGGCCGCTGTGCGTTGCAGTTATTTCACGCATTATTATCGCGAAGCGTCACGTAACCTTCACATTTACGTCCACCCGTCTGAAAAATCGCGGCGGGGCGAATTAATTCGTCGACTTGTTTACCGTGCCGAGAATGCGAATGCTGTCGAAGGCGGCCGTGAGACTACCAGCGACAACTGTCGGTCACTCATGGGCCTCGATGTTGCACAGTCGCTCACCCGACTGGATATCATTCAAAGCCTGTATACTTTACGGGGAGGGATTTAATGATTTACCGTTATCCAGCTTTAGATAGTAACAAATCGCAAAATCAGTATTGCATTATAGAGAGATTTAATCGTGGAGAAGAGATATTTACATCCGATGGTTGAAATGGAAACTACCTTACTTAGGGTAGTTATAAAGGGATTTTAATCTCCATTGATGTCGATACATCGTTACCATAATGATATTCGATATCTGCCACGTCGATACATCGTTACCATAATGATATTCGATATCTGCCATGTCGATACATCGTTACCATAATGATATCGAGATCTGTCATGGCACCGATTGTCGTCAAATATGGCGCGGCAGGAGGGATTCGAGGAGGCATTTCGCATTTTCTGCGATTTCTGTCCGTCGAAAACGTAATCTTGTGCCTGAATTATCGTTATTAGGAACGTTCAAAGTAAGTTTTCTGTACTTATTATTATGGAAATATGTTAAATAATATCACAGAGTGAATATTTCGCGGAAACATTAAATGAAATATTTACGTGTTTTCGTCACTTACGACAGTTCGGAATTTATGCGCAAGAGAATAAACTTGGTTTCGAAAATATAATATGGACAATATTGAAATCGGCTTTCTTAGATAGATGCTGCCACTTTACTGTAGCTTCTATTTTATTTCAAGACACGTAACTGTAGAACTCGAGATGGTACACACTTTACCTGCAGGCGAAGTTTGCTTCCTTGATGAGTCTTATACGATAAAACCGTTTTATTTTAATAATTTGCGCACTCGTGTTTGTACAATATTATAATAATAATCGTAATAATAGAAGTAGGAGTAATAATAGTAATAATTACAATAGGAGTAATAATAGTAATGGTACAATCGTAATAGCATTGTAGCCGTAGTAATTACAAACGGCTGGTGACGGTATGATCTGCTACGGAAATAGCAATCATTGTTCATCTCGTTGCCCGAGATGGTTCATTTGATCGTTTGAATACTAAAGAGAAACCGTTGATAACGTGAGCTGACGATCGAGAGCTTCCGAAAAAAGTATTGCCGGAAGTGGATAAAAAACGTCGTCGCTCTACTGCTGCTCCACCAATTACGTTTGACGATTCGAAAGACGTTAAACGAGATTGTGGAATGATCGTGTACCGAATTTGAATTATGTTTCCTTCCCTTTTTTTCTTTTTCGTTTTTCTCCTTCTTTTTTAATTTTCTTTTTTTCTTAATATTTGCGTATGCACGCCGAAGCGATCGGAAATTTTACTCTTCTTCCTCCTCCTCTTCCTCCTCTTCCTCTTCCTCCTCTTCCTCCTCTTCCTCTTCCTCCTCTTCCTCCTCTTCGCCTTCCTCTTTTCCACCCTCCTCCTCCTCTTCCTCCTCGAATTGCGGTTCTTCGAGATCGAGATCCTCGTCAACCGTAGCCTTCACGTCTTCCTCGCCCTCGGGTGTATCGGGATCGCCAGCCTTCTTGCCCGGTCGCTCGCCAAACCACTTCGGCAACTTCGCTGTTATTCGCAGAGAGCAGAGAATTAATTTCGCGCCATGATCCGGGGTGATAAAACACAAAGACACGTGCTAATTCGTGAACATAATTCCACGATGATGAATAATGAAAAAATAATTATCTACGTACACGCACGCGTTGTACGAGACACGTTACCGTAGAAGAGGAAACTCTTAACGATTCTTTGGAACAATAACTAAAACAAAATCTCCTACTTTCTCATTAATTTTCAGATAATCGTGTAATAATGCAAAGTTAATTATCTTTTATTTCTTTTTTGCGGTTCAATGCCGACTCGAACTTTCAAGAGTCGAAGTCATACGTACTCTTCTGGCGACCCATGAACTGTTCCTTCTGTTCGGCCCATTGTTTCTCTAAAAACTCTTTCTGCTGGTCGGTCAGGCCCTGCAACACCAATGGACAGAACGGCATGCTAGGAGCAATTTTCACACATCGGAAGTGGACTTTTGTGGCCCTTCTCTCCGTATTGTCGCTTTTCCCCGGGTTGCAAAGATTTCTTCATGACGAAAGGGTCGGGGCTGGGGGATTACAGCCGAGAAAATTAATTACACAATAATTGATTTTTACGAAATCGTCTCTGAATGAATTACGATTTTAGACATTTGACGATCTCGGCATTCGAGGACAGACTTTCTTCGGATTTCGTGTAAGAACGAAGACGAATTAGACAATCATCCTTGTAACGATTGAAGGCAAACACACTGAGAGCGTATCATACATTTTCGGAACAGACATAAAGTGACAAACCCACAGACGACGTCGACTTGGTACTTTATTAGAGTGAGCAATATTCTCGTGGCGATCGTTGCCGTGATTTTTCATGCTTTCCATTCGCTGTGCTGGGCAATATACACGAGAAAAAAAATTGCTGTCGGTTGTGAGCACAAGTACAGTTGTGAAGAACGGTGTACCGTGCTTTCCACGTTACACCGTCAAAACAATGAACACAACAACGCCTCGACCGTTCAATCGACGAGGAGAGCGAGTGAAGAAATTAGATACACGATCATCGCCGATGAGATCTCGGGGATGCAACCAACAAGGCAAGCAAAAGGGCGATAAAGCTACAGTGACAGAGGGATCACGGTTGGACTCACTTTTGTTGCGCTTCATAAACTGTTCTGCTCTCTGTTTCCATATTTTCTCGTTGGTCTCCGCTAAAAGCGTGTCATAGCCCTGCGATTCAATCGATTCATATGGCTCACTAATCGCTATTTTCGCATGGGGTCATTCCTATCGTGTTGTGTCCGGTCTATTATATATTGTACAGCGGGGCATAGAAGTCCCTATTTTTAGGTAATATGTTCGTACCTGACAGCATCTCTAGACATGTTCGGTACTGTGTGTAAAAATCATCTCGCATAAAGAGCATCATGGAATGAGAGTTTTGGGGGATTTAATTCCTATGTTCCGAATCAATATCGTCAAGTGGATTTTAACGGATCGAAATGTACGTGCGTATATACTTACGCCCTCAAAGAGTTTCTTCTTGTCATCGTAAGATCGGGTGTCGACGCGACGTTCATACTTTGAGGCGACTTGGATTTTCGGCTGTGAAGAAACGATTCGAGATCAATCCTCTCTTGCTTTTACATACGATCAGTCAGATACGGAATACATACAGGATATTTGCCGGTTAAAGCTTCAGGGTCGAGACCCTTCTTCAGAGCTTTGTGCCTCAGTTGCTGCTTTTGACGTTCCTTCAGCTCTTTAAGCTACGACATATATGAAGAACTACGTTAATTTTTGTTTCGTGAACGGAAATTATTGACGCATCCTTTCTTTCCCTTAAGAATATGATTAGAAGAATTGTCGATTGCTTGTGCAGTTTGTGCAGGCTATAAGTAAAAACTCACGTCATACTCCTGACGCTTTTGTCTCTCTTCCAGATCGTATTTCTCGGTTTCAAGTTTTACTATGCTCTCCCACAATTCGGTCGCTTTGACGCGAAGCTTGTCGATCGACATACCCTCGATTTCCAAGGGTTTGATGCGAATGCTAAGGGAAATTTTCTTCTCCTCCTCGAGCTGTTCCTTAGTCTTGTTACGCTCGAGTTGCGCCGATGAAAGATTGCCCTGTATTTGTATGAATCCATTTTCAGTAAGAATGAAAAAAGTTTAATTCGTTCGAGTTAAATGTTCAAACACCCACCGAAAGATCTTTCTTAGTGATAGTAAAGTTGGGGCCCTTTTTGCTCTGTTCTTTCACCGCTTGCATCATAGCCTGACGCTTCTTTTCCGATTCCTCCAAGCGCCTAAAATGTGATAAGTAACGTAAAACAGTATACGTATCGTATAATTTGAAATCTATCGTAACATTTTCATATTAAAATTTTTGATTTTAATTAAATTTAAAGGTTACACGTTAAAAATATCGCACGACAGTTTTGAGATACAAAGTTGCACACACTTACCTCCTTTTCTCTTCGATGTCACGTTGTTTCTTCTCCTCTGAAAAAATTCAGATGCCTCGATTGAGTTTCTAGTTTCATTGGAAGGGTGCGGGAGGAGAATCGGGGTAATCGCATTTACCGATTTCACGTTGACGACGTTCCTCCTCTTCTTTCTTCTTTTGAGCCAATCTCTTCTCCTCCTCCGCACGGGTGACCTTGCGCTTGGCTTGTTTCTCCTAAAGAAAAGAACATTATGTTATGTTTTTTAGATAAAACATTAAATATGTAGAAACTAAGTGGGAAAGAAAAATACGAGAATCGAGAAGAACTGCACCTTTAATCTCTTCAACTCCTCCTCCTCCTTGGCTCTCTGCTTTCGCCATTCCGCTATATATTCTTTAAGCTGTTCGTCGAGTTCACTTCTTTTCTGTTCTTGTTTCTACATTATTTTAACAATGAATTAGTCGCGTATACGCATTAAAATTCTTCCTAACGATCGTGCCAGGGCCCAACGTATCCCGATGCGAAAGAAAAATAAAGCAGCGTGCCGATATATCTCGCGATCCAAAGCAAAACAATTAAAATGCTTCTTCCTTCCTGTCCTGAGAATTTTTAGGCGATAGAAGAAACAAACAAATCGTTACTGTCTTTTTTGCGAACTTCTATTTTTTTACCGACAAAGGCAGATTTCGAAACAGAAAGTTTCAACAAAAAATATCGCCAATAAAAAGGGGATTGATTTAAAAGAGAATTTTCGAGGGTTGCGACCGCAGAGGGTGTTGGACACTGCATTCGATATATTCGCGCGGATACCAGTACTCACCTTCATAAACTCGATACTCTCGCCAGATTCCCTGAAGGAGGCCGGAGCGAAAACAGAAGTCACTCGCTTTAAATCACGACGATTGAGCTCGTTCTCTGGAAGATCTCTCTTTCTCTCTCTCGAGATCTTCCAGAACCCAGTACGCGGCTCTCCCGTCCACGTCCCCACCTCGTTTATTACAACTCATCCACGTATTCTCTCTCGTAGTGCATATTATTTAATGCCGCTCATCGCACGTATTCACACACAGACAACACGTGAGCGGACACAATCAGACAGATAAATACACGGACGGACAAACGGGAGGTCAGAGAAAAAGTGAAACGAGGAACAGAGAGGAAGAGTCAGAAGTGATATGAAAAAGAGAAAAGAGAGAGAGAGAGAGAGAGAGAGAGGAAGAGAGAAAAAAGAATCAGGCAAGTAATGTGCAAGCATGTAGGAAAAAGAAACCAAAGTGCGTTTCATGGCAGATGGCATTAATGACAGTTGTAAAAAATCCCACGTGGTTTAGGTGAATTTCTCGGCCGTCAGTGACCGCAAAAGAAGCAAATTAACTCTGAGAGTTTTCAAAAATTTCGAAAACTTTCCATCGACTTCGTGGACTGAATCAGAGATCAACTCGAGATAATATACGGGAGCACAGGTCTTTGTTTCGAAAGACAGATCGCTCAGAGAAAATGCCAGATGTGAGAAGATAGATCGTTATGGGGGATTTCGATCGTTCCATTCAAACTGAAAGCGTTTTGAGCTCGGAACTTTCGATATTTTCCGTGCGATTCGTGTCGTGAAGTATCGCGTAAAACCGCTCCGGCTGACAGGAACTACAGACATAGGTATTACGATTATTGCTTGCAACCCAATCAATTATGGCACAGGGTCAACGTAATTAATAAGGGGGGATCGGGCACAATAACGAGTCTTCAAATGTAAGGACATGACATCACTTTGACGTAACTCGAACAAGACGTGATTACGTACAACGCCGTTACACGTTAATTCGTTTATTAATCAAACTCGTTTATTAATCAAAGAGGCAAAAAACGTAAAAGACGCGAAAGTACGAGGGGGACATATTGTAACACGATTAGGAGAGGATGGCTTCGTGGACTGACAACGAATGATCACGTATCACCGGCAGGATCGAGATTCATTCACCATAACGGCACTAATTAAGTTCTGAGGATGCAGTTTTGGCTTTCGACGCGATATAAGATGCATATGAGCGCGGTCGCAATTTCTCCGGCAGAAAATAACTATCGAATTCATTCCTGTGGTGCTCCGAATTTGTTTTGAGAAATTTCCTCCGATGATACAATGTTGTCTTTTTTCCAAGTGCCAGCGACCACGTTAGTGATCGCGTTATGTAATCTTATTTGGGTGATATAAAAAGAACGCATTAAGAAATTAAGCCTAAGTATGTGATATTAGAGGATACTACGTATTAAACGGTCAGCTATTAATTAGATCACGTCGGCGTTGGGGCGTATGATACGTTTTGAGCAGACGTCGGTCTCAGAATAAACCGCGTTACGTTATTGTGCATGTATTTACGAAACGCCTGGCAGACTACCAAACGGCTCAAGTATCGTCGCGCATTATGCAATCGCCGCGGAATCTTTATGAAAGGTCCGTAAACGTTGTTTTCGGAAAATGCACTATTATATTATTATTTTGCCAAAACTACAGGCCAATGATCGCTCGATCTGCCGCGTATCTCGAAATAAGATTCCTCGGCATAGATAGAAATTGGCCAACTCGTGCGACGCATCGGCCAGCCGGAACGTGAAACGTCGTGAGGCTACGATCTCATTCCTGTCGTGATACAAATTTAAAGGTCTGGCGGCCGGTCTCGTCGACGTCGATTATCTTTGATCTATAATTTAGACGGTACTCAGCTCATTCTCTTCTTATAGAGAAAAGGATAAAGTTCAAGATGCGTTACTATCATCGCGCGTTTACACGTTAACTACGTTCTTTCGATTTCCATCTTCGTCTTAGCCTTCCGTCAAAACAAAGTTCAAGATTAGAAACTCGGTATTAAAATATGTTGCCTGAAAATGCGAGCCAACAATTCAGAGACCTCTTCGGAGACAGTTGCATATATACGAACGTGCCTTCGGCTCGTAAACTGATCGTTCTTAAGCCTGGTGGGCAAATGAAGTTCGGTAAATTTGTATCTTCGTGTATAATTTAAGCAGCTGTGTCCGAGGAGGACAAATCGGGCAAGAGAAGCGAAGATTAAATTTAATCGACGCCGGGGAAACCGGGATCTCTGGGAGTGTGAGAGAGCGGCCGAAGAACAGGGAAGGATATATTATTGACGTGAACACCTCGATATATAATGAACTTACTTTTGGGACGCCCTACCCCTATAAAAAAAGAAAGTACAGATTCATTAATAAAGTTCGTGTGATGAATCGTTTACTTAGGACTGCACAAAGCTGCGTGTAAATTATTATAATCGGCGTGTAAATTATATCGTTCGTCTCTCTCCAAATTGCGCCTTCCTTTTCTTTTTCTTTCTGTACAAATTGCTTCCTCGACTGTTGGCCTACGCGAAATCCGGTCGTTTCAACATGTATCGCGCAATCGGATGCGTTTATCCGTGCTTTGGAAGGAACAGATCCAACATTTATTTCTCTAGCCCGCAAGAGTTTTAGAGGAATAATTTGATTATTTGAGTATTTAATATCAAACGAATATATTAACGCTTCAGTGTGATCAAAGAAATACACAGAGAACTTTTGAGTCTTGAGAACATTTACAAATCCTAAGACTCCTGTAATCGAAGACTGAAGAAGTGGACCTTTTTTTCCAAAATACAGATACATGATTTATTTTGACAATTAAACAAATCACCATAGAAACTCAACGTGGATATCGGCACAATCAGTCACACGTGTAAGTGTATATATGTAACGTAACGACACTTTGCAGAGTATTTCGTTGCCCAGTTGATAATGCGAGGTAACAGAGGCTGATTAGGCGACAGACATAGTGACAGACATGACGAGGACGAAGGTAGACATGGAGAAACAAAGTGCAGGTGAGAAATCCATTCTTTCGCGCGATTGTGATTGGTAAAAAAAAAAAGGTCGTATCTAAGTCTAAACGCTAAATAAATTTGGATGAAAATCTTCCAGCTAAGAACGAGACACGAGCGCAACGAATTTCTCCGCCGAGAGAACCGTCGGAAATCCGAGGTTTTGACCGGGACAACCGAAGCGAACTCGTGGCGTCGCAACGCGTCTTCGCGGTAGCTCTACAATGCTCGTTACGAGACTCCAGCGACTTACTTCCTGAAATGAAAAAAATGGAACGAAAGCCAGACGTTAGAGAGATATTTCAGGAGCGAGACATTACAAGGATTCTACGTGATCGAAGGTGAACACTTACACGTCCTCGACTTCCTCCTCGCCGCTGCAAAAGAGAAAACGGAAAAAGCTCCGGTTAGTTGGGGCGAACACGGTGAGGGTGATCGTTCAGAAGGGTAACATACGAGGGGCGGGGGGGGACCAGGGGGCTCAAGCTTTTGGAGTTGCTCGAAGCTCAAATTCATTTTCGCGAGAGAGTACCATTACAATCTGCAACCTCGTTCCAAAGTACAACATAGAGAAATGTGGTTTTGCTTTTTGAGTGCGTACACGATCGTGTTGTAACCCTTAAGAAAAAGTACTGATCAGCTGTATCGGTAACTGATAAATGATGTTTCAATTAACTGATGATGTTGGATCAGTTCGCGTCAGTAACTTGTGATGTTCTATCAGTCACTGATAGAATATCATCAGTTAATTGGAACATTTATGTATCAGTTACTGACGCATCTAATCACTTCTTTTTCTCAAGGGAATGTACCAAGAGAACGGACATTGAAAACAGCACAGTTAGAAAAGAGTGTAGAACAGCACATTGAAACACGACGAAGCCACAGAGACAATGGGCAGTATTCAAGTATTCTTACGTGGGCGATATGTTCTAGATGTTCTAGATGTGTTCTAGATGTGTTCGGACATGTTCTATACATTGGGATCTACGATCAACGAGTTTTAACCGTGATCTTGGGCCATAGCTGTACTAAGTGGGGGATTCTCTCATATCTGGGAGCCGTCGTTGACGCATCTTTTGAGTCTTGCATTTCGATTTACTGTATGCATCTCAAAGGGTAACAGTATCAACGCAGGTACTCTATATTACAATACTTAATAAATATTTCATTTTGCAAATTATGTACAAATTTATCTTACATCTTGCTAGAATCGAAGGGGTGCATTCATATTGGTCTTTGCAAGAGCGTCTCATTGAAGTTTGTGATGTTTTAAAATTTGACTTAACGCTGCTAGAATTTGCAGTTGGTGTAATTTCATGATGAAAGATAAATTACGGATTGAAAAAGTGTAAATGTGAATAATAATCGACAATTTGATCGATTGTAATCCGAAAGTAACGATTAAGTGAAAACTGAGTTACTTACGAGTATTGGTCCTCGTCGTCAGACATGTTGGCGGTTGTTTAGTGCTGCAACACGGAAACAAAACGAAATATTAATTAACGAGTGTTCGTCAACTCTGTATAATCCCAGTAAATATTTTCTCGAGAATCAACTCCGCGACAAACATATCGAATATTTATCAACAAAGCTCTCGTAACATTTCAGAGTTTGAAAGTAGCCATTTTAAGAGTCTAAGGAATTTTTGGACGAGATCGAAACGGAGAATCTAATGGGAGAGAAACACAGGAAAGCCTGGGTTTGCACGTGTAATTCTATTGCAGTACTTACGGATTTACGTCTACTATATCACTACATTTACAACTTACAACTTAATCACAGGTGTAATCTGGGACTATCTCGATCGACCTAAGATCGGGATAAGGAATCGTCACAATGGAGATCTCCCGTTAACGTCACTTACATAACTTATCCACGATGTGACGAATTTAAAAAAAGAAACAGTCACTGGAGCGGAAAGAAGTGGAAAACCAAAAGATTCACCGGTTAACTCGCACTACGAGGCGGAAGAACTAGCGGAAGGAGCGAGACAGAGAAAGAGAGGGCAGGAGAGGGCAAGCAGGGAAAACACTCGAATGCAGAAAAATATGACGGAGCCGCACCTTGCGGGGGGTGAAAAAAGAAACGAGAAGAAAAGTCGAAATTGAATGAACCGGACGGCGTGCACCGACGCGACGATGTCGAAGTAATCCGATATTCCGAGACGGGAGAGAGAAAATGCCAGTTTGCTAACCCTGGTCACAAACTCGGCGTCCCAAGCTCTATAAGGGGCCATCCCCTTCTCTTCTTCCTCATCACTCTAATTTTAGAGAGGAACGACATGCTCGCTCGTTCCGTCTCCGTCCTTCTATTTCTCTCTTTCTGCGACCGTTTTCTCGCAAACTTCACGAGAACTTCACGGAAAGCCAAAGCCTTCGCTCGTCAAACTATGACATTTCTAAAGCTAGCGAGAGGACCGTCGGAAAATACCGATATCTTCGGTTTCTTCTGCCGAGGTGCGGAGTGCCGCAACTCGACGGATTCTTGCAAAGGCAATCTCTACTTCTCCGACTTGAGCTTCCTCTCCTTGTACTTATTTTCGTCGCTCGAATCTCTCTCTCTCTCTCTCTCTCTCTCTCTTACTCTCTTTCGCTCTCCTTTCATATTTAACGTTCTCATTTTGAGACGCTGCTCGTCTTCCAGACAACTCAGTGACCTAAAAGACGCCGTAATCTTTCGCATATTATGTAGACATAAGTAAATTTATTACTTATTTCTTTGCTATTTCTCTCCTTTTTGAAATAAAATAATAATCTCAATGTTCTAGGGTTGAGAAGCAATAGGATAAAATGAATACCATATAATGATACAATCTTGTAAAACTCTGAGCAATTTTCTAATTGTGAAAAATATCTCAGCGTTTATTTAATTGACGAAAACAATAATCGAAAAACGAGGAAAAAGTTCGATTTTAAACGAAAAAATAGGAACTATGATGAACATATTTTTGAGTTCAAAACGTTCGCTTCTTCTTTTCTCCGAAGGCGAACGAATATTTCATGTTGTAAAATATTAATAACAAATATTATAATGTTCGTATCTGCTACGAGAATATTAAGATACTAACAATTAATATTAGTAAAAACACCCACACGAGATCTCCATTGCTAAATTAACATTACACTTTAAAGTTACCTTTTCAGTCGGGCAGTTCGAGATGCACTACCTAAAGTTTCTTACCAGTTATTCCGTCGACGCGAATAGTGGAGTGGAAGGGAGATTTTGTTTATATCGGGCGACGGCGCACGCGGAAACAAATGCACGCGCTTCTTCGAAAAGAACTCGTTGATGACGAAGGTAAAATAATTACATAATGTAAAATAATTACGTAACTTTCGTTAGTATAGCAATATACTCTAAAACTTTATTTCAAGGAAAAGAGAATACGTGAATTGTTTCTATGTATAATAATAAGTCTTAACAATGGCAGAATTTGTTTTTTCCTAAATAAAGTTATTAAAAATTTCTATATGATACATATATGGAAGATTACATCGTACATAATTAATTACTCTTGATTCTACCCAATTTTACAATTCATATAAAATTACAGTCTTGTAACTTTTCGTCATTTTATAAATAATAAATATATTTCCTTGTGTGTGTGTATGTGTGTCAATTATTTTATATGTTAAATCATTTCCCTTTTCTGTGTTCCAATCTCGGCCTCCCCTTCTTCGTGGTTGGTTTATCCTTTCCTTTATTTAACAAGGGATGAGTTTCTGTAATGCAAATTACGTTAGTATTTTGTTTCACTTGCTCCTAAATAAGCTATACGCATGTTAAAATTACGCCGTCGAAATTTTACCATCGGTTGGTGCCCCCTGTAAATTTATATCGTGCGAACGATGTTTCTTCAGCGGTGGTTCATGCGGTGTCACTTGATTGTCTTCCGAATCTTCCACATCTGGAGATATAGGTAGGAACTGAAGAGAGCCGATATCCTCAGTTTCTTCGTCCGAGCTGCAGAATGCGGCGACTCTATCGATTGATGCGACATCAACCTCTATTTCTTCATCCTGAGCCTCCTCTCCTTGCACCACAGACTTATCTTCGTCGCTCAAATCAAATTCGCTTTCTCTTTCCTCATATTCGACATTCTCATCCAGTTCCTTGAAATCTGGCGCGAACGCAGACCAATTTTCCACTTGGTTCTGCGCCCAAATAGAAACCACTCCTGATGATATGGATGCAATTATCGGCCTTACTGGATGCCACTACGATAGAAACGAAGAAAATATCTTGTAATCTCGTTCTATACATTATAGTTGAAAAATTTTAGAAAAGAAAAATACTACGATAAATCTAAATTCAATTTTCTTACCACAACGTCAAGTAAAAGTTCACCCTTGGTACCGTGTAGAATTTTCACCAAATTTCCGATACTCTTTTCCCACACATACAAGGCATGTTGCCTTGCCGATCCAGCACAAACGTATTCTCCATCACCGGAGAAGCAGCATTTTTTCCACATCGTTTTATTTACAAGATCTTGCAGCTTCTGAATCGGCTCAGGTTCGCCGTCTTTGCCGCACGCTAATATTTCAGTACTGTCGTACACACGAATTACTCTATCAGATGTGTTAACTAGGAAACAAGAGCCTCGCCGTGCGAACTCTATACTCTTCACCGCCGTATTACTGGCAGTACCTTGCGAAATTTTGTAAGAGGCTTTCACTGTTAGTGTCTCAGCATCAAGAACTAAAACTCTACCACGAGCATTCCCTGTATACACGTAATCTCCACGTCGGTCGAATGATGCTACTATGTTTAAGTCGCTCTGAAATCAGAGTGATATAATTTTCAAGAATATTGTTTCCATTTTTGTAGAAATTATTGATGCTGAAAATACATTTCTAAACCTCATTTAGCTTATGTGAAAAATATTTTATATCTGCCTTCTATTAAGTCTGAAACACGTGTCACATGATACATACGTCCTCATCGAGTGGTATAACTCTGTGTGTGCCTTCAACATCAACCATGACAGCAGCGTGACGCATCGGACATACCAAAAATTTATTGAGATTTCTTGGGTGAAATTGTACTTTTAATATTGGAGAGGGAAATCTGTACTTTTGATCACATTCTCCAGATAGAACATCCCAAATACATACATTATTGTCTGTAGAAGCACTTAATAATTTATGACCATTTCTTGACCAACTGAAAAATACCATAAATTTACTATGTCTTGACTTCATGTTTACTTTCCTCTATCTGTTCTACTTGATTTTATTATAAAACAGACACATTCTGATAATCTCATCTTACCTCAATGAACATACAGGATGTACATGAGCACTGATAATCTTGGCTATACCACGGGTTAGAAAATCCCAAATCACAAGTCTTCCATCATTGCAACCAACAGCAAGAAGTGTTCCTCTCTTATTAAATGTACAAGTAACAGCAAGAGATATACAATCCAGTGTACCATCAAATTCCTAATAAAAGAAAGGTAATAATTAAAAATGATATCATAATCTCTCATTGTTTCATTGAGATGAAAATATAATCAACATTGAACACATACCTCTGGATAATTTTGTCCGAAAGACTCTGTAAAAATACAAGCGTTAAAATTAAATAAATATCATAAAGTTTACATACATTAAAAAATACACTTGAAAAATTATTAAACTAAAATATAAACAAAGGTTTGTTTCTTTATCATCTAACTTATGAGAAAATTTACAAATAATTTGTACTAAAATTAAACAATACACTTTTCGTATTGAAAATATAGTTACCTAATAGTTCTAAATTCATTTTTTACAACGCCGATTTGTGTTTTTGTGATTAAACTATACAATGCTAGATGTGGTTTTAGGTTATGACAACCTATGTGGTCTGCCTGGCGCCATCTGACGATGTCGGAAAACACCCGAATCAGACTAGAGGTTTGTGTGATCAGGTATTATATCGACTCAGTTCCGGGTTCGAATCTTGACTGTGCAACTTGTTACGATTTAGCCGGTATACACGACGCCGTGACGCAAGAGGTTAATGCACCTATTAGTTACATTTACATTCCGAACCGGTAAACGTCAACAGGGACAAGAATTAGCTTGTCAAATGAATTCTTTGCCACGTTGGCTTGTATGTTAGGCGCGCGCATTCCGCGAGTGTCGTCCACGAGTTCGCGAAGGAAACAGTCTCGTTCGTGCGATCTCGCGGAGGAAACAAAAAGACTGACGGTTGACTTCGTGTCGGCAGGTGTGATTGTTATTTGATTGTTCGATCGCCGAAATTCTGGCAGATCATGATGCGACTGAGCCTCACGCTCGTGCTTCTTATCGTCGCCGGTTCGCACGTTTCCACCGGCGAGGATTGCAAAGGATGTGTTCCTCTGGATTCCTACTCGTTTGACAAGGTAACGAGAATCGCGGAAACTTCTGGAATCTCGGGGAGGAGATATAACATATCCGGATGTAATAATTGAAACTTGTGAGACTCTTGATATAACGATGTTATAAAATACACATCGATTTAATGACTCTAGTCTCTCAACTTTATTTATATATATGAACTTCATTATAAATAGTATATAATTTATGTATAAGTTTGGTCGAGGAGAAAGTTATTCGTAGGATTTTTGATGGAGAGTAATTTGACGCTTCTTATATATTTTCTATATGTTTTCCCTACATTTTTCCGGAAAATTTCCGATACTCATCCGGTATCATTAGCTAATATTCATCCTCTACACCGAACATGTTGTGATTTCCTTCTTATTGCGATCAGCCGTCGTTGCTATAGTTACCAGGCCATCGGCCACGTTGGCGAATATTTGGTTCCGTTCCCATCGCATTTTAATTCATAACCATCATTTATTCATCATAACGCGCAGATATCGATTTGAACGCAAACAAATCAGAGAAATATTAAATGTTATGCATTTTTTGAAATTTTCAATAAATAAATAAGCAAATAAGAGATGACCTTTCTAAGCATTTTTATTAAAATATCATTTATTAAAGTTTGAAATAATTAAAGGATATATGTTCAAAAAAGATGAAAGCAGAAGAAAAATATTTCTAAGGCATCTAAGTTATGACAGCTATAAAAAATGTCGTAGGTGATCCCCAAGTTCAAAGCAGTGCTCGTTAAGTTCGATGTTGCATTTCCATACGGTGGCAAGCACGAGCAGTATGCAACTGTAGCAGCCGACACAAGGGACTCATATGACCTTCTAGTAGCGACAGTAGGCGTGAAGGACTTTGGTGATAAAGACAACTCCGACCTGGCACAGCGCTATAATATCAAGAAGGAGGACTTCCCGGTAGTTTTACTGTTCGTGCAGGGCAAGTCAAAGCCATTCAAATTCGTCACTGAGAGAGATTACGACTTCACTGGCGAATATCTGAAACGGTTTATCCGATCCAACTCGAGAGTATACCTGGGTCTGCCAGGATGTGTGGAACGACTGGATAGGCTAGCCGAAGAATTCAAACTTGCAGGAGAACAAGAAAGACAGGTATGACATGATCAGATAATAAGCGTTGAGTTCAACAGTTCTAAAGTTTTCATAAAGAAGATGGAAAGTAAAGAAGTGACTTCTCACAGGAAAGTTTGCAAAAATCTGTTAATTATTATCTCATTTGTTAATATATATTTATTATTTCACCTGTTAATATGTACTTGTTATCTGTTATTATCTGTTAATATATATACTTAATAATTTTCTTTTTTATGCAGGAAATATTAAAAAAGGCTAGAATCTTCGAGGAGACTTTACCAGAGGAGCAACGAGAGGCTGCGAAAGTTTACGTGAAAACTATGGAGAAGATCTTGGAGCGAGGAGATATATTCGTGCAAACGGAAGAGACGCGAGTGCAGGGACTTCTTTACCAGGGAAAACTATCGAACCAAAAGAAACGCAAGATGGAGGAGAGACGAAACATTTTGCAGTCTTTCTCGGCCAGGGACGAACTTTAGAGGACTTAGCGAAAATTCGACTTTTCAATGATCATCCAAGCATCATCTGATAATTCAGTTTCAGTACAAATACCGACTGTTTAATTGTTACTCTGAATTATCTTATATGCTGGATAAAATGTTATATGAGCGACGATAGGAATAGAATTACTATCGCCTGATATTCCAAACACCGCAGTATTTCTTTACATTTATTTTTTGTCGCGTTGTATGTGTATGTATATATGCACAGGAAAAAATGCAATATTATTTGAGACACTCTCTTGCGTGCGATTTGTTCCTTTGTATTAAACGCTTTATCCTGTTATATAGATGATATAAATGCAAAACAACTAGGCCAATAAGCATTATAGATGTATAGGATTCTATATTTAGAGATATCTGTCAAATCAGTTAAGTAATACTACAGTTTAATCTATCGCATAAAAATTACATACAATCAAAAAAACTGAAAATTCTCTAAAAGAAAAGGACAATTTTGATAGGTTGTGGGTTAAGATGTTATATTGTAAACAAAGTAAATAAAAATTTCATCAATTTTATACCGATATCGTGATACACGCTCACATTTACGCACACACACTAATATCTGCGGTCTCCTCAACACGCTGTTTGCTATTTTTCAAAGCATACACGATGTAATCATTAACAAACGAACGAACATGTGATATAATCCGCAAATCGTCTTGAATTCTCGAAAGAGTAATTTCTAGAATAATAAGAAATAAAACGCGAGAAGTTTCTTGTGCGTGCAGTTTGTCGTTGTATTTATTCGTTCAGCATTCCCTAATGCTTGACGCACCTTCCCCCGCGTTCATTCCGGTAAAGATACTATCTCGCATCGATTCCTCTTCTACTCCCGGTTTAAAAAAATCACAGATAATATGCATCGCTTGTACAAATACTATCTTATATCGAGTAACATGGAAATTTATTCAACTCGTCCACAACGTCGTCGCTAAAAAATGTATCTATGTATATTCAATGCTTGAATAATGAAGCGTTGGTGGCATGTAATATATGCACATTGGCGCACATAATATCGGAATGTGCTGTCTGTTAACAAAGTCCATTGTCCGTGGATATATTGCGGGGTTCATTACTTTTTCTCGTCTTCATCTTTCACCTCTAACTTCTTAATTTCTTCGATTAGTTTCTCCTCGCTCTTTGTTACTTCGCATTTATCTTCCGCTGACTTCGTCACCTCTTTCTCAGTTTCCTTTTGCTGAGAGGTAGTGTTATTCCCGTCGATATGTTTAACGGGCGATTTCGTTGGCTCCTCATTATCGGTACTTTCGCTGTAACTTACGTCACTACTTGACTCGCTGTCACTCTCCACGCGTTTCTGTTCCGGATTGCTTTTACCGGCGTAAATCTCGCATTCGGATCCTACAATCTTCTTAGCTTTCTCAAATGCTTCCTTCCACACCAAAGCATCTGTATAGCAAATTAAAACGTATCAATGTAAAAATATTCTCCAATATTATCTCTTGTCACTTGTATTTTAAACGTATCCTTTCAAAACTTACTTTCAGCATTTGCAAAACGTATCGCAAGCAATTCTGGCTTGAGTTGTTCATCTGCATAATCAGCAAGTACACTCCAGACCCAAGCCCTATCACTGCCACAATTTGGCTTCAATTCCATCCATGGGGTTACAAAATGATTAGCACAGATCTTAAGAGTTTTGTCTCTGCGCATGACAACTCTGACTGTGTTTTTCACTTTATGCCTTAATAACTTAACCTCTCCTGTGCCACGTTCCTTCCATTCGGCTGGATTACTGGATGTATCATAACGATATAATTTTGCTCTCCTAAAAATTATTAGAATTGGTATATGTATATTGTACAGTTCCGTAAAATATTTTTATAATTTACTCGATATAATATGTGCAATAATATATCAACTTACAATTTTAACATCTCTATTTCGTCCTCTTCATTGTTGGATACTTCTATTAAGGGTAAAGATATTATGGGTTCAAAGTGTACATCATTTTCAGTGTTCTCTTCATCATTGTCTTGAGGTTCACAGTTGGCACCTTTTACGTCAACGTGGTCACCATTAAGCTTAAAAAAATAAAACAAAAAAGAAAACATCATCTTACAAAAAAATATCTCTTTAAAGCATTCAAACTCAAGTGTCAAATTGTAAAACAGAATATTTCAACCAAAATGCAACATAAAGGAAGACATTTTTGGATACACATAAAATCTATAACAAAATTTAAAAAATTAGATTGTACTATTAAAGAATATACAATTTTTGTTTCCTGATTTGGTTTCGCAAAAAAAAGAGGGGGGAGGGGGAAACGTGAACATAACCTATTGCCAATGATGCTATATAATAATGGGTTATTAACCGAATAATTCTCCAATTAAGATTAAGCACAAAAAAGACAATGGGATGCGGCGAAATATATGTACCACGTTTTCTGGCATCTTCGGCGGTTGGCTGGAGTATCGTACAAAGTAAAACGTTCGCCGATGATCACACAAGACGTTCAACGGCCAGTTTTGTAACGTGTATTGTGTCGTAATTGGCTGCAATTGATAAACGCTGGCAACCCGAACCGCAGTGCTGCTAAAGCGAAGAAACGGATCCTCCCTAGTCGAACTCGTGCTAGTTACTCTTTTTGATCTAGTCGCACAGCTCACATCACGTTGGCAACATCGACGAGCGTTTCGCCGCCGGCGTCGAAAAAACGCGGCTACGCGCATGCTCGAGAGATCGAGACGAACGGCTGTGAGAGCGTTTCTCGCGCGACCGGTGCGGGAAGGGCGGGAACGAGAGGGGAAGAGGAAAAGAGGCAAAAGGGAGTGGAGTGCGCGGTTGTCCGGGCGGCCATTGCGGGTACCTTGTGCGAAACTCTGAACGTGAGCCCGATCCCGAGTGTCGTACGGCACGCAGATCGAGAAATCCGGAAGGATCGACGGCCATCTCCGTAACAAGGTGCTGCGTGTGAAGCTCGGAACACGCACCGAGACTCCGGCCCAATGGCTGAGACCGACAAGTTAAACATCGACAACATCATAGCTCGGCTCTTGGAAGGTAAAACTGGTCGATCGCCGTGCGCTGTCTCGCGCTGCGGAAATAAAAAAGGGGGGGATGGCGACAACGCAACGCGGCTCGAACATCGAGACTCGATCGCTCCCGTGAGCGTCATCTTGTACGTGCATCTTCGCGTTATTTCTTGCGTGGCTTTCCGTGATTCGCCTGCTCGATGGTGCCACGACGACGACGACGACTTCGGGGGGTGATGATGACGCCCGACTTACCGATCCCTACTGCTCTTTCAAGGGCACGACAAAACAACGCCCTGACACTCCTGTCTCGTCCCCGTCGTTACGCAATGCCAACAAAACCGATGTACGCATCTAGTTGTCATGGACTTTCGCCGTGCGGCGGACGTTGCTCGCGTTAGTTTGTTTACACAAAACGAGGTTGACAACCCGCGTACACGCCTCGGCCGAGAGCGAGGGAGCTCTCTCTCTCTATCTCTCTCGCGGTATAATTCATCTTTTCACTACCGTCATACGTCATAGAACGGTTTTAGAGTTGGTTTATTATATTTATGAGCTATATTAGACATCTAGGCTGATTCATTCGCGCTCTGTTGACTCTTTGAAAAATAGGAGAGCACCGCCAATGAATGCTCTCTGCTCCATAAGAAGAGCAATTGAGTTAGTGGGACGATTATGTTGATGAGTTATATTTTTATTTATATGGATTCTTTCACTGCAAAATGGCTGATAAAATGATATGCAATTATTCTATGTTTTTTATTTTCCAAAAGATATATTATTTAGCTTATTATCTACAAACATCTTGGAAACCTTAAGAACATTCAGGATGATGTAAATTGATTATGAAATTGTATAATACTCGTACTATTATAGCAATATGTGTCATCACAAGGAATACATATCTACTTTTTCATCTGTTTTATACTTAGATTATTATAATCACGTTAAAAAAATAAAAGAGAGAATATATATATATATATATATACATGTATGTATATATTAGAAAATGAGGTTAATTTTTATGATATAAAGTTGTAGTACTTGTATTAATATTGTCATTAAAACACCACCTTTTTGCATCTTTATAGTACGAGGAGCCAGACCAGGCAAAAATGTTCAGTTGACAGAAGTGGAAATCAGAGGACTATGTCTTAAGTCACGTGAAATTTTTCTATCACAACCCATTTTGTTAGAACTCGAAGCACCATTGAAAATATGTGGTAAGTAGACGAATACATTAAACTCATACAAAATTTAAAGAAGTAGAAATGTTAATTATTTAACATAACTTAAATGAATTGTATGTGTTTAGGTGATATTCATGGCCAATACTATGACTTGTTGCGATTATTTGAATATGGTGGTTTTCCACCCGAAAGCAATTATCTCTTCCTAGGAGATTATGTTGACAGAGGAAAACAGTCGTTAGAGACTATCTGTCTTCTTCTTGCCTATAAGATCAAATATCCAGAAAATTTTTTCTTGTTAAGAGGAAATCATGAGTGTGCGTCCATTAATAGGATATATGGATTTTATGATGAATGTGAGTTCCATTCCGAGTAGAGAAATGGCGCTTCTCGCGATATAATCTCGTTGACCTAATTGTTTTTATTAATAATGGTTGTCATTTCTGTGAATAAAATATTCCAGGTAAACGTCGTTACAACATTAAGCTATGGAAAACGTTTACCGATTGCTTCAATTGTCTGCCTGTTGCTGCGATAGTGGATGAAAAAATATTCTGCTGCCATGGAGGATTGAGTCCAGATCTGCAGAGTATGGAGCAGATCAGGCGTATCATGCGACCAACGGATGTACCTGATCAGGGATTACTTTGTGACTTATTGTGGTCGGATCCCGATAAGGATACTATGGGCTGGGGTGAAAATGATCGTGGTGTATCATTTACGTTTGGTGCAGAAGTCGTTGCCAAGTTTTTACATAAACATGACTTTGATCTTATATGCCGTGCCCATCAGGTAAAATTTTGCACATATACACATTTATCGTGTGTGTGTGTGTGTGTGTGTGTGTGTGTGTGTGTGTGTGTGTGTGTGTGTGTGTGTGTGTACACGTATATGTATATATATTTGTGGGACACTCTTGTCTGAATTCTAGTAAAAATGTTGCATTGCAAATTATGATTATAGGTAGTGGAAGATGGCTACGAATTCTTTGCCAAGCGACAGTTGGTAACACTATTCTCCGCTCCAAACTACTGTGGCGAATTCGACAATGCGGGTGCCATGATGTCGGTCGATGAGACGCTTATGTGCAGTTTCCAAATCTTGAAGCCAGCCGACAAGAGGAAATTCACGTACGGCGGTTTGAATGCAGGACGGCCCGTAACGCCACCACGAGGCGCGAATAATAAGAACAAGAAGAAGTGAAACCCTTAGACTTATCTTTTCGAATGCGACACTTAGGACCTTACGACCGCTACCCCCGATTCACCATCTGTTATAACGTTAAGTCCTTGTAAGAAAGGGAGAGACAGAGCGAGAGAGAAAAAAAAGTTATAATAATTATTATTATTATCAATATTATTATAATTATTATTATTATTTTCAATTGACTACGAAGCCTTGCAGAGATAAGTCACGGAGTATCGTGAAGAATACATGAAACAGAAAATCTGAAGGGGCGTTGCTTTTCACAGAGATCGTTGTCGAAAGTAGTAAGTGATAGCGTATGTTTGTAGCTAAATGTGTTACTGTATAAAAACAAACTGTAGTAGTGATAAAATCAATTTATCTCGACGATAAGATTAAAACCGATGTGGCTGCCGCGACGTTCTTAATAACAATTGCAAAAAAGTAAGAGGAAACGGACAGCCATATTTACTGTAATTCACCTTTCGCATTCGTCAATCATAACATCTGTGTCTTTTAGTTCATTTGCTATTCGGATTCATTCATCGGTGTTGTCAGCATCATTTGCTAAGATCTCTTTCGACCACTTCACACTGTGACGAAAACCAACACGATAATTAGGGCAATGTCTCATACACGTACGAATCACATACACGCGCATACTTATACACACATATATCAATTTCGCTTCATTTCATTATATAAGTACGCCGTTAACGAAGATATCGATACACAAGTAACTAGCGATCGCCTAGACATAATTCTTTAAAGTATAATAGATATTTATAGCGCTTGATATTTCTATAAGTTGCACAAATTTGTAAACGACATCTATTACGTCATACTATTACATCAATTTTATAAATATACAATTTATATGAATCGTGAAATGTAGAGAGAGAAAGAGAGTGAGTGAGCGGACAAAAGAGAGAGAGAGCGGGGGGGGGGGGATAGGGAGAGAACGAAAGATTTCATCCTAAAGGCAAATGTCAGAACGTTTGACAAATCGTAATTACTACTCATATACGTGTTATCATTTTTGCCTCTCGTGGGACGAACGGAAAAGCACTCGTATTGCGATTATTACAGTCGGCAAGGCTTCTCTGAAAAAAAAAACGTCTTAATAACATTATATAATCTGTAAATCTAGGAGGGTATTAATCGTGCGACTAACGGGCACACATAGACAAGCGCGAGCGCGCGAATCGCACAGCGATCGATGTCACCGTAATATAGGCGTCTAATTCCGAGATAATAAGAAAAGGGGAGGAAGATGTGTCCTCCTGCAGCATGGGTTTCATTCTCGCTATCGAGACGGTCTCCAATCATGGGACGTATCATCATTATCATTATCATCATCCTCATCCTTATCACGGTTCACTCTCACCACGATAACGCTCTTTTTCATTTAGTTTTTCCTGATCTCCCTACATCATGGTCAGTACAGTTTCTATTAGCCCAGTGCACATCACGAAGCACATATCCATCCTCGATGATATGAAAGCAAAAAGAAAAAAGAGAAGGAACACGCATCCGTGTGAAAAAAACCTCGACGTGAGTATCTTACTCCGGATTCAGACCAATCATGTTTAGTCTCCTCGTCATACTTGTACATTAATTTCTTTTTTATAAATAAAATTCACATAAAAATACCTGTCATCTCTCTTCAGTAGATGTACATATCCGGCATCCCAGCGAGCGATTCTCGAACGTGCGACCTTGGAGAAGAAGGAAAGGTTTTACCCTGATATCTATCTTAGTGCGAACAGTTCTTATAGCGCCACACTGTCCATTACGAATATCTCGTATGTATGTAAGTGTATCGTATGTTACAGGTACTATTCGATGCTTAGAAAGTAACGAATACGTGACGTCCATAACGTTCATATCCTCTCTGCGTAAGCATTCGCGCGTCAGGAGGTACATATAGACGTAGTCTCGAACTTTGCTATTAACTGTATTGTATTTAGAGAGAGAGACACGATAATTTTACTTGCGTCACGCAGAAAGGCGTATACGTATATAAGGGCTAAACTGATAACACCAATTGTTATCTCGTTAGCACTTCGGATCACCGCTCGTGATTCTCGTGAGAAGTGCCAATTTTTCATTTGTCAGTTTCATCTTTATCCAAGGTGAAATAAGCACATGGTGTCAGACAGGAGGGGGAAGGGGGGGGGGGCAAAAAAGAATAATGCGCAAGAAAGGTGATTGGAACGGACGGATCTAATTATAGTCGTGCGAGACATTGAGGAATACTTACGCTGGTCTCTGTGATTCCGAAGACGAGGAGATGCGACATTTTGCGTAAAATTCTAATCGTTTTGATTCGTACACACAGCGTTGTCACAGCGTTGCGGCTCTGACTTGTGTCGTAATGTTCGATATGCCAAAATTGAGATTCCTCTCGGCACTCGTCGCGAGAGACAATGAAAAAAAAGCTCGAACGTTGCGTCCCTTTTGCGCACATTGCCAAGGATTTGGTCGAGTTTGAGATAAAGTTTCAGGGAAACGGGGAACGGAAAAGTGATCTTACGCGCGCTACATACATCACACACGTTTTTTCGGACGTTGTACATATATATTAGTATTATCAGAGATATACTAACACAATGCAGGATTTTGTGATTAACGGGATAAAGCGTGTATAATACGCGGCGAGACGTGCACTCGAAGAACGTTACAGCGTAATTATACTCCATTTGGCACTATACTGTATGTAGTACAAGTATTATTAAATAAGTATGTGAAAAAGAAAAAAAAACAATCTGTAATTGAATTCGAATGCTTGGAACTTCGGCATCTCATCGCGACCCTCTAGCTCTTTCGTTTCCCTGCACAGGCACCTGTCCCCAAGATATGTACCTTCGAGACTCTCGAGATCTCTCGAAGACCCGGTTTAAAACTCTATGCTCGAGGCGATTTTGATCCTCGTGCGATTTAATTGCTCGGGAAAACTTTCAGGACGGCGAGACTCGAAGACGGACTTTTATCGCCGCCCGTGTGTCAGGATGGAGGAAGCGGATATTCCCAGGCACCACGACGCGAAGACCCGTTCCTGAGTCCATTGCACTTACTCGGTTTCTGGCTCACCGAGACTCCGCCTTCTGGTGTACGAAGCAGAGGAGCCAAAGATTCAGCATCCCACGGCGGTCCACCCCTGACCAGCGTGGGTGCTCGTGTAGGAGGATCCTCGGAGAAGCCCTCCTTTCTTCCGCATCCCTCTCTACGTCGCCCCTCGCTCCGTCCTTCTTCCGCGAGACGGTTCTTCACCGAGAGAGGAGCCCGGGAAGAGAGATGCGGGAGAGAGGGCACGTTCTCGGCTGTCGAGAGAGAGAAAAAGAGAGAGAGAGAGAGACGGAGAATGATGTCTTGATGATAAGCCAGCGGGGTAGTCGCCTCGGGCGAGTTCTTTCTGATTCATCCGGGGATTCGAGGCGCGCGGCTTTGAGCGTCCTTGTCAGCATCGGGAGCACGGAGGTGCGGACAAGTCCTGTTGACGGTAGAGCGCCCGCTCGTCTTGCGACGATGATGTCGAGGCTCGTCGGATACTCGTCGGTCAGGATCGTCGCGCGGGTGCTAAAAACCACGACGAGCGGCCGCGCGATAAGAAACGTGACGGACGAAAGCCGATGGCTTTCTTTCTTTCAATGAGGAGCCACGTGAGATGCTGAAGAAGATCGCTCGTTTCACACCGCACCACCGGCGACATTAATACTGAGGCAGAGAGAGAGAGGGGGGAAACAGAAAAAAGAAAATAGAGGAGCTGGATGGTTCCCCGATGAAAGCACACCTGTTCTCTGCGAAGCGGTCTCTAGACCAAGCAGATATTCACAATTAATTAATGGTCAGTCATCAACGATCATCGGCGAAGAGTGATACAGACGTGTGTGTGTGTGTGTGTGTGTGTGTGCGTACATAAATATCCAGATGATGATTCTCGATAAAATTCGCTTCCTTTCGGCTGAAGAAGAGGTATCGCACCTTTGGAAATAAGGGTCCACCGACGGTCGAGCGCGGCACCACCGGAAGATGAGGAGGATCCACGAGGGCGAACGAGGGTGTTTCCTTTCTTCGTCTGATTGTTCCCCATACCGGAAATGTGTCGACGAATCGCAGTGCGCGCCAAGTTGAGGTAAACGTCGCGGCATGGGTTGCTACGCGGGCCCGCATGGATAATGCGTGTTTCCTGCCGCGGTGATCACTGATACCGATACCGACGAGGATGCAGCCGCAGCACGAGCAACGACATGAGCTTGCCACCGATTGCTGTTATCAGCAGTGGCCGTCGCACCACCACCATCATCATCATCACCATCACCAGCATCATCATCAGCAGCTGCCGGCCGTGCCGTCGCCGATGCAGCAGATGGAAGGTGAACCGCGTGGTCTCGCGTAAATCCGCGGTAGTTTTACACCCCACCGGTCGACCGATCCCGATGACCGGAATGCAAAAGTGACACCCAGATCGTGTTCCCCGCGACGAGGTACGCGCGAGTGATTTGCGAGGAGAGGAGACGCTTTTAAGCGGACGTCGCGCGGATTTGCCCGGCGCGTCGAAGCGGCGGACGCATTAAAGCCGACGCGCGTTTCTCGCGGCTATTCCTTTTTGCTCTCTCGCTCTCGCTCTCCGCGCACGTCGTGCTTTCCGAGCTTTTTCATTGCATTCTACCCACGGGCCTTGTCAGTTCCTTCTTCGGGGACAAAGAAAGCGGTCCCGCACGACTGCTCCGCGAGGAACGCGTCGTCTCCCGGCGATTTCTGTACTCACTTTGAATTCGCGGCTCCGCGTACGACAAGGTCGGCCGCGAGTAATCCTTCGCGGGAGAAACGATAACGAACGTTAACGTTGCCGCTTGCTGCGCAGCTTCCTCGTGCGAAAAGTGGCCCCGGAGGCTCACTCGCTTCCGCTTTCCTGGCATGTCAAATAAAAATTGCAATGTATAAATCCGCAGTTGATCCGTAGTTTCGCACCCCCGTCTGCGGTTCAGACGAAACCGGAAGAAAGATGCGAGAGTGAACTAGATCGTGTTGTTTGCGAGGTACTCGTATCCTTCGCACGTTCGGTCAAATGTCGAAGTACTTCCGTGCTGAATCCGTCATTCTCTCAGCTTGCTTGCAGAGCGCCGGGAGAGGAAAGCGATCGCTGAGCCCCAATCCGACGAAGACCGCCGTGCTGGTCCAGCCGGTCTCCTCGTCGGCCCCCACGGTGGAGCCGCGGAACGACAGCAACAACAACAATCGTCATCACGGTGATCATCATCCGAGCAACGACGGTGCGTCCTCCGTCGAGGAGTTGGGTGCTAAACGACCGCTTCACCCGGCGCTGGTCGGCGCCGGCGCCGCCTTGGAGGCGAAGCCGCTCTGGGAGGAATTCCATCAGTTGGGTACCGAGATGATCGTCACGAAAGCCGGACGGAGAATGTTCCCCACGTTCCAGGTGAAGGTTCCTCGTCGCTCGTTCGAACTCCGAGAAACGCGCCGTCGGTAGCACGCGGATTCAGGTTGCAGAAGTCGTCTCGGCCATGAGGAGCTTCGAGGGAAGCTTGGGGAAGCTTTCTAGAGCGGGAAGAACGTTTCAAGTATCCCATAGAGTGCCTCTATTTATTGGGATTTTTCTCATAAGAGAACGAATCGTTACGTGATTATAAGTCGCCCGTGTGCCGTGACTCTTGCATAGAAAAATCAAATCACTACCTCACGAACTAACAATAACATAATATCAATGTTATAATTTCCCACTCAACGGTGTAACTGTTCACACAACACGCGCGTTATATCGCATTTGCATTGGTCGAGTGGAAAATTATAACGTTGACGTTATGTTACAATTAATTGGTGTTCACTGAGGACGTGCGATTTTATTACGATTTCCTTTAATTGCGCGGAAAAGAAATGCAGTTCCCACAACTGAACAGGGATCAGACAAAAATTCGGTGATAAGAAGTGACGTATCCATTATCGTGACCGATTCGTGTGAACATTCAGCTCCATCAGGCTACTTTCCCATTGGAGCAACAACAAGAAGCTTCTTCGAAAAATGCTCTCGTTGTTACTCTAAGGGGAACATTTGCTTTGAAACCTGCTCGAGACAACTAAGAATAATTAACCGAGTAGAAACCTCCTGCGGGAATCTTTCCCTTCCTGCAACCGAGTTTTTATCCAGTCCCGAGCAACGAAAAATTCAAGTTCATTTTTCAACAAAGTAGCTTTTTCCGTGAGTTCACGAACCTGAGAAAAATAACGGGGATCTCGTTAATCATCGCAGTGTCGGCTATTCGGCTTGGACCCCAATACGGAATACCTGATGGTAATGGACTTTGTGCCGTGCGACGACAAGAGATACCGATACGCCTTCCATAACAGCGCCTGGGTGGTGGCGGGTCGCGCTGACCCGGTGTCACCTCCCAGGATCCACATGCACCCCGACAGTCCTGCGAGCGGCGCGCACTGGATGAAGCAGCCGATCTCCTTCGACAAACTGAAGCTGACGAACAATCAACTCGACGACAATGGACACGTGAGTGTCGATTCTTTCTCTCCCTCTTTTTGTCTCATCCTCGTTGAATTATTCGCTGAACTATCCGGCGATGCGCGTCACAAGAAGCAACTATGTAAAATATAAGTTCGCATTACAGAATCGTTCGGCCAATGATTTTATTACGACGTAAGTTCGCCGCTGGTGTCCCTTGCGTTCCTCTCGGTTGTTCACACGCGACCGTCGCATCGCTCGTTTCATAAAGCACACACCTACGCAATAAAGTAGAATGAGAGATGCAGCGGCTTCCACGTGTTTGTCGTTTGCGGACGAGTTCGCTTTAATTGACCTGAGATACGAGCTCGTCGCTCGCGAGAAATTACGGAGAGAAGCGCGACGCGTCGCATCGCTACGACGCGTTTTCCCTGGGATCAACCGTCGTTTAAAGACCGCCGGTCGTACGTTTCATCCGTCCCGTTCATCTCGCCGCTTTTCTTCCCTACCGAGGCGTCTCGCGTCGTCGTGCTTGTCTTAAAACAATTAGCTGCGCGCTCGTGTGCGTGCGAACAACATGAAGTATCGTACGCGGTCAGTCACAAAGGTTGCAACAAAAGATTTTCTTTTTTAATAAGTTTCTAATGGGAGAATTTGTTTCTCAATCATTCTCACACTGATGGAAAATTATAGTTTAACCGGAAAGTGGGCAACCAAACGCGCCTCGGTTGGAGGAAACAGAATTTCTGGTTGTAGGAACCATGATAATAATTAAACTCCGATTAAGCTAATCGATGAATAATAATAAGAATTGCCAGCACATCAATGTTTTTTAGCTTGTCATTCAACAATAATAATGGTTCTTACAAGCAGAAATTCTGTTCTGTCAAATTCAGTTCTTGGTTCTTCGACGAAAACGCGTTTCATTGTCTACTTTCTGATTAATTCAATTATAATTTTTTACCAGTGCGAGAGACATATTTTGGGTACGAGAATTTGCGTTGCAAAATTCATCGATTGACCGTACGTGAAAACATAGAGGATTTCCTGGGAGACTTCAGTACCCTCTCCGATCCGCGGGAGCTCCGTTCAGAGTGAACTTGTTTTTTTCTCGATATCTATTTTTACGGCAATCTTGCATTTTCTTATATTTTTATACACTATATTATTAGCATCGATGTGTCACGACGATTCCAGAGCTACATTCGCACGTGTAATCACGAGATTGCGCTCTAAATGTTTTCTTTGTTTTTTTCATTTATTTATTCCTCTAAGTGTCCAACAGTATTTCATCGCGCGTCCCGAACAATGACGGTATTCTTTCAACGAGATCTTTATTCCAGCTGTTTTCCCCCGGGCGTTTCAAAAGCGGTAGAATTATTCTCGTAGGAAAATAGACTGCAATAGTTTGACGGTGCGGCGCGCTTAAGGATTAATGTTATTTGTACGCTTCGAGATATCCTGTCTGCGGCGTATTAATCTCACCCTCCTGTCGCCACGGGCGAGAGCGAGAGTATCGTGTGTAAAGTAATGTAAACAGATGTAGCGTAAACCCACACCGTAGAGGCCTGGGAAAGAAGCCATACACTTTGTAACACGCGCCGCTTTAACGCCGAAAGAATTAGCAGCGGTCAGCACATTGGCAAATGCGGCGAGCAACGTCGATCTCGACTCCAGATCTCGATTGCGAAATCTCCGGCGGAGCTGCTTATCGTTCGTCGAAACGAATGATAACGAAATCTCCGCTCATCGATGATAACTTCGCACGTGATGAAAACACGAGGTTAACAGTGTATTCCGATAAATCGGCACCCCGGTGAGTTGTTGACAAAGTTAAAGAAAGAAAGATAACGTCGATATAAAGCGACTTTATTAGATAATATCGATAATTAATTATCGAGACTTTTAGAGTGACTTCGCCGAACTCCGATTAAGCTGATCGACGAATGATAACAAGCGACAATTAAAAATCGTCAATTAGTTGAAACAATGTTTGACGAGAGTCAACCTCGATGACATTAAATGTCACGCGCGACAAAGTCGGCCGATCTCGCCGCGGTCGCTTTTCAATTCTCTCGATGGCGCGCACGATGCACCTGCGGGTCGTCGCATCGCCGAAAATAATCCCTCGCGGTCGCGCCCGTGCCAAATCCATCAAGACGGGCGCGAAATGGGTTCAGTGTTGCGATGTATCGGGTATGCCAATGAAACGAAACGGCGACATGCCGACGCCGTGTGCGCACGTGTCAGTCGCAATTTCGAAGGAGGCCGGCGAGTCATCATGTCACGCTTCATATTTCTGCGACTGATTGTCGCCTGGCTGTTCCTTATCGCGCTTCTGCGCCTCTTTGAAAGCTCGGCCCTGACGCGGCACCTCCTCGAATCGATTGAGTCGCGACGACACTCGCACGAACGTACCTGGCGACGCATCGATCGGCCGTCGATTCAAGTCCGATAAACGAACGGAATTTCAAGGGTACACAGTATTTGGACCGCGTGAGAGGTCCGTGGGCGACCCGGGAATGTCTGCTAATGCTCGCTCTTAGTATAGTATAACTCATTAATACATCTATCCGAGGCAAACATTTCCCGTCTCGGACGAGAATCCATCGGCACGGTGGAAACGCAAAGCGTGTAACGAGCGGAGAGAGTTTATTACATTATTCACAGAGCACTCGTTGCGCGTGTAAATTCCTCGAAGATGTGTTTCAGATAAACTCGCCCGCGTGGTATATCGCGCGTCGAAGTTTATACACTCGCAGGAGAAAGAGAGAGAGAGAGAGATGAGATTTATTTTGCGACAGAAACGTTTCCTCCCCGAGGAAGGGGGGAGTCTCCTCCGCAAGAATGTGTCGCTCTTCTCGCGCGAGAAGACCTCTGACCCATGGCGAGAGGCCGTTCTTTTTCTCCCGTTACACAGAGCAGTTTGTTCCTTTAATTGCGCACCGAAATATGTGGCACCGGGCCGTGTAAAAAATCCGTGGGCGGGTTGGGAATGCCTGCTGATGCTCGTCCTTAATTGACGCGCTCGCGCTATCGCGAGACGTCCTCCGATGTCTGGGGAAAACTGTCGGAGGCATCCCGAAGTTTATATCCGAGAAGTGAACGCAGCGCGACAATAGGATTTCGATGGTAAAATAACACGTTTAAAGAAATCAGGCAGCACTATATATATATAATTATGTATAGAGTCGTGTAAAATTACATATAATCATATAAGGAATTACATATGATTTTATATGTTTCTAAGCGATTTCTATATGATTTTATATAGTTGTGTATGATTATATATGAAAATTTGTTTACCAAAGAGTCAAGACTTTCCTTCTTTGTCCATTCAATTTCAGATAGACCTCACTCAGATAAAAAGCCACTCGACGGTGATATCTGAAGTCGAATGTAAAAGTTCGCGGACGACATTAAATTTTTCAATCAATTTTTGGGAAAAATTCCGACCACTCTCGGAGGGTCCCTGGATGGTAGGGAAAGCGTTTTGCGTGGGATTTCCCCGTGGTGTGTTCGCAATACAACACGAGTGTGTGGAACACAATACTCAAGTGCTGACCACGAGGAATCACCGTGAAGATGAGAAGGGACCAGCCGATCTCGGAAGAGAATCGTCGGGGAAAAGCACCGGTAGAGGAAAATGCGCGCTTCGTAGAAACGTCTTCTCGATTTTCGGGGCCACACGCGTTCCCCTGCTCATTGTCTGTGTAAGATATATACGTATCGTACGTGTGTTGATGCGGGCACGCACGTCTTCTTCGGGGCCCAGTGACACACATGCCATCGTGAAGCATATGCGCGTGAGTGCGCGATCGTGCGAGGGAAGGACGTGGGTGTCGGGTTGCGGGTCGGGGGTTAGTTTTTACACTAATTAGTCACCGGTTCTCTTCTGGCTGTCAAACATCGCGACCGCCCCCCCGTGGCGCTCCTTCCTTCTGCCGAATTCGAGCCTCACGTGTCCCCCGTTTCACCCCGCGTCTTCCTCCCCCTTTGACGTTTTTTCTCCCCGTCGTCGATTTTTCGTGAGACGACGACTTTACCGGATTACGCGCGCCGATCAAATCTCACTCCGTGAGAGTGTTTGTCGCCCTGTCATAACATTTGTAACGCCATGTTACCTTATCGTCAAACTGTACAGTCCATGACATGCTCTATCGCTTCCCTGGACGGATAATTATATTTTTCAGTGTTATATATAACCAATAAGAATTGAAAATCGCACGAATAAATAAATATTCAATAATACTCAACATTCAATATCTGATTGTAATAATGGGATTAAATTGGTTCTAATTATAACAGTCCAAAATCGTGTAAATTTTGATCTAGGAAATGGTACAACATATACGGAAAAATGTGCTGCAACCAAGTAAACGTAATTACTTGTTTGCCAACTTCTTAAATCAAGCAATATTTTCATCAATTGAAGCATATTTTAATAGCTTATAACAAATGCTTATTTGAGCACAGTAAAATGGCCTTAAATTGAAAAAAGAGATTCTATTTGCTAGAATTACTTCTTTTCCATTGAGAAGAAACCTAGTGGTTTTAAATTAGAATGTTCTACTTAGTAAATATTTGCTCGAAATAAATTCTGATATTTTCAATATTATGAATTTAATACTCACCGCAACTGTTCTAACACAGTAAAAGTCTGCTTATACGAGGGAAATATTATATTGTATATGCAGTCAATTATATTTCTATTTTCAATAAATATTTTCCAAGAAGTACTGGAATAACCATTCTATCTGGATCAAATAAACACTACTTGAACGGTAGCACTTGTTTCTTCAACGTACATGTCACGAAATTAAACAAAGCATTACTTCATGAAAAACGAGAGCTTAATGGCCGATATTACGTCATAAGGTATTTCACGAGATGAACGAGTAATCTCCCGTGTCAGTCGTGACCATGTAACCCTTTCCTGTTGCAGATTATCCTGAACTCGATGCACCGCTATCAGCCACGCTGCCACGTGGTAGTCGCCCCCTCGCCGCCGGGTGCGGCGCCGGACCCACGTACGGAAAACTTTAAGACATTCTCTTTCCCGGAGACCCGATTCACCGCGGTCACCGCCTATCAGAATCACCGGATAACGCAGCTGAAGATCGCCAGCAACCCGTTCGCTAAGGGCTTCCGGGACTGCGAGTCGGACGAGTGCGATAGCGTGGCCATCAGCGGGATGCAGAATCCGGCGAAGAGGCCGGCCACAGGAAGCGCCGGAAGCGGCGTGCTGCCGGCGGGTTACAACACCGTACCGGGGATGCAGATCACAGGCATACCCGGTCAGGAGCATCACCAGTTCTACGGTGCACCCGGCGCAGCCGGCCACTGGACTTATCCGAACCACCATGGGCACCAGCCGTCGGCGCACGTCAACTCGGTCCATTATCCGACGCATCCGGGCGCTTCGCTCTACGGGCCGCGATAAGAAAGCCGTTGATCGTCGTTGATTGTTCTTCGGTCACTGTGTAATCTCTCTTATCAGTTCTTGTACGTGCCGAAGACTCGGCGACCGATCTTATCAAACCTCGTGCAAGACCCAACGTGTCCTCGACGAAGAATGTGAGAGACGTTTCAGTGAAACGCGATCTGCATCTTCTTGGCTCTTATTTATCATGGATAGCCGAGCATTGTGTGGACTTCCATCGGCGAAGATTCAATGCGCGCTTACACAGTGTGAGGTAAATATGTATTGTCGTATCATTCGCCGTATCGTTCGTGTACTTTCTTCTCGTGAATCACACGACGATCGTTGCGTGTATTTATTATCGGGCTGTCGGAGTGCCTTCGTAGTGCCTTGTGAACAATGGGACATGATGGACAAAACAGATGTGTGCCTTATATCGCGCGTCCTGCTTATTTTTTGCGGGCCTAAGCACGGTTCGTCACAAAATCATTTCGAGTTAAAATTAAAAGTGATGAAACGAGTTCACGAGCGAGTGTATATTTATATTTTTGTGTATAAGGACGGTTTTTTAATACGAGTTCACTTAATCGGAGGTAAGATTTAGTAATTAACGGATAACGGCATTGCGCTGGATGTTAACACTTGATACTCTAACCAAAGATTGTTGTACCAAAGATTACGCTAATATTCGACGTGAAGTGTCTATCTTTAAGTTTTACGTTCAGTAAGATCGTTCTTCTATCGGCTCAATCACACGATATCCGACGTTGTTTTCGTCAAAACAAACAACATTAAAATTGAACGATTACATTTAGTCATTGTGATATATGCAATATTCACTTTCACAAATTGCTCACACGTCTGCATGAATAAAAAAAAAACAGACGGAAGTCAAAGATTTGTCGGCATGTAAATTTGTTTGTTTCATCAAATATTCTATTGTCGGTCTACACGCAAATTTTTTTCTCCCGAATGTCCCGAATCGGGATCACTCATGAGAAACGAATCGGCCGATCGATGCTGGCAAACTTGCGGAAGGCCAAGGAAGAAAGTGCCTTTTGTAGGAGCAAAGTGCGTCTATTTATACTGGGTGTCTCAAATGCCGAACGAGCCTAAAAGGTTCTCGAGCCAAGACGGGAAAGTAAACGCGCCGTGACACTCCGTGAGAGTGCGTGGCTGCTAAGTGTCTTAATAAATTATGCCTCCGGGTATCGTGCCATTGTACGTTTAACTTTTTAAGACTCTCGTACAGTGTTTGATAGTATTAGAGGGGCGTTTTATGGCCCAAACAAGGAATAAACAGTAGAAGAACGCAACGCACGCACACGCGAGACTTATTTTCCCCGAATTCACTTCCTTCTCCCTATGAGATCGAGTACTCTTCGATGTAATTTCTACATGTTGACAATGCTCATCGCTTCTTTATTTGCTCCGTTTTTATTTCCCTTCGTACGTATATTACGTACGTTTGAATTTGTAATTGGAAATGCAAATATTTAATAATAGCGTGACTTACCTTTAAGGTTGTTTAATTTTTCGCGGGATCATTTGTCAATTTTACGATTCGCCGACAATCACGAGAAACCTGAACGTCAAGTTTGTCAGAAATGACGAGCCAGTGGCAATGAAGTGAGACAGGAACTCGAATGTTTGAAGTCCCCGCAGCACGATGGATGGATGGACGCGACATTCGCCGTGATTGATGACTGCACAGGAGGAACAACGCTGTGTAAACATATTATAGGCGTATGCTTAATGACCGCCAACGATCTCTCCACTGAGCTAAACGTTTTGCAGTCATCCGTATTTTCAAAAATGTCCCCGTCTCCAGTTGAAGGAGGAAGAGAAGAAAAAGAGGAGAAGTGGGTCTTTTGGTACTTATATATATAAACTATAATATTTCGCAAGCGTCGACTTTATTATAATAGAAAACTGCTATATATATACTGATTAAAAAATGTCTACATTCAATTAATATTCAGTACATTACATATTTACTTGGTCCAAATAAAATGGTTATTCCAATACTTGGAAAATATGTATTAAAAGTAGAAATATATAATTGCTAATATCTCCTATGTACTAAAAGTAGAAATATATAATTGCTATATACATATCTCCTTCGTATAATTAGACATTTATTTGTGCATGTTAAAACAATTCCGACAAGTATTAAATTTATAATATTGAGAATGTCAGAATTTTAACTTTGGAAAATATTATACTGTAAAATTGAAATTTGAAACACTAAGTTTCTTTAATGAAAAAGAATTATTATATAATTCGAATAAATATTCTCCTAAATTTAGAACAATTGACTCAAAATTAATAATCCATTTACAAATTACAGTATCACTTCGTCAAAGTAAATATTTATTACATAAGCCATCAAAATGTGCTTAAATTGAGATAAAAATATTACTTGATTAAGAGACTGAAAAACATTTTAATTACGTTCGATTGTAGCACTTTTTTTCTTTGTATGTACTTATATTCCATTATCATGCTTTATTCTTGTTATTATTATTTTCATTACAGGGAACCGTGCAATTTGCGAGACACATCGATTAAGATTAAAAAAGTAGTAATAAAGGGGTGATAAAGGACATTAAAAAATTTACCATTTTATTTCGCAAAATTAGAGAGATGAACAACGATTAGCTCGCGATCGTAAATGAAAGGATTAAAAATAAGAGTCAAACTTAACTCGGTTCGCGACGTCCGGGCTTAACTTATTAACTTATTCCGCGAAGAAATGACGGCGCGTTACGCCGCACACTGTAAAAGTACACTGTGCGGTCCGCACAAGGGAGGTCCCATCGCACTGTACTTTTGACACCCTAACCCGAGAGTAATATAAAGCCGCGAGACTCACGGCCTACAGAGAAGCCGCGCTTATCGACGGCGCGTGACGGCGCCGGTAATAAAAAGCCACTCCGTATTCTTTCATCTTCCTCGTGGATGATGCTGCGCGACTAACCGAGGTCAACCGACCCGAGGGGTCAGCTGACACCATCGGTGACACCTCTCCTGAGTTTATGTCGGAAAGTCAAAGGCAACGTAGTCTATCGGTTTAACATTGAGGGAAAAAAACGAAAGAAACGTCATCTCCTCGTCGATGCGAGAATCCAGATAGCATCGCGGCGAATAGAAATTTGAAGAGAATTCAATTGATCCTTTTAATTGGGTACTTACAGAATTAAAAAAAGGAATGAATATCTGCAGAACATTGTTTTAAAGAATTAACCGCAATCAAATTCGTCTTTACACTTTTCAAGAATTCTAATCATGGTAATTTCTTGGATCATTTTTATAGTATTCTTCTATTGATTTTGAAAGAATTGCAATTCGAGGAAGGAGAAAATTTCAGGAATACTTTAAGAATTCACAATGTTCTTTGGGAAACTGTCGATGCGAGAAAGAAAGAAAGGCTTTACTGTTGCCGGCGCAGAATGCGTCTCTCTCTCTCCCTCTCTCTCCCGGATCTCGGAACGAGCTATTAAGATAATTATTAATCGCATCGTAAGCCCTCGGCTTCTTCATTATCGCCATTCATTCGCCGATACCGATCTTTAACGCGTCCTGTCAATTACCAAACGCGACCGAGCGCGACGAGAGGCAATGGAGCAGGCAGCGCGCGTGCTCGTGCGGAGAGTGCTTAATAAATCTCTCTAATTTTCCGGCGGTGGCTCGTTGGTCGCGGATCAAAGACCGACAAATGAATCGCTCGGTAGGTGGAGGGAAAAAAGAGGAAGGAGGAAACGCGGGCGTGCGTCTGCTAGAGGAAGGCGCTATCCCGCTACCCATGAATCCGTCATCGCCGCGTATCGTGGCCCGTGTGTGTACGATTCGCGCGTACACGGTGTGGCGGGGCTTTTATAGTTTCCACGTCGTCGGCGAGCGGCTCGAAACGCCTTCTGAATTTTCGAAGAAGACCGATTCGAAATAGGCGTTAACCGTCGCAAACGCAACTCCGTTTTGTTTGCGTCGGCGCATTTCTTCCGCGCAGCGGATGCGACCCCATGCGACTAATTGAGAATGAGAACGAGGGAGAAAGAAGACTCTGGGCGGTCAAGGTGTATATTAAACCGTAACAGCTGTTTTCTGTTTGAAAAAACGCATTTGCAACACTTTCTTTTTCAACGAGTTTCGCCAAGTATCTCGCATCCAATGGGAAAATGTATCTCCTGAGAATGACTAAAATATCAATTTTAACGAGAACCAGCGAGAACCGAATCGATTTGACGTCCACTCGATGTAATTTCTATTGTTTCGATGTCGGTTTATATCGATAATTCATTTCTCGCTGAACATGGGATTTCACATGGATTTCCCACGTGGATTCCCATCTGATTTTTCTCAACAGGGTTGCGACCTTTTCGTGGTGCTGACCATACAGCGCAGAGGAGAATCATTTTCTCACGACGGGAGTCCATTATCACCCCCTCTATTTGTTTAATTTTCGCAGTCTACCCTACTCTTTATCGAGGGCGGCGATTTCGTCGAGTTCGCTGGCGTTACTCGCACGCGACACGTGTTACTTTCGGAAAGATCGAAACCCGCAGAAGTCAACCGGCCAGAGTCTGCCGGGGACGCATCGCGGCGCGGGGCGACGCGACCGACACGACGGCCAGAAGTTCATATCCTGCGCACGAATACGGCCGCAATGACAGATTTACAGATTCCAGCCATCGCCATCGCCCTCTTCCACGGGACGATTCTTAAAGCGGGACGCGCGCGGGCACGGCCGGAGCGCACGTCAAATCACACCTCGACTGTTTACGCTTTATGTCCGCAACCTTTTCGTCCCCCTCGTCTAGTGCCCACTTCCACTTTTGCCACCGTCTCCACCCCCTTCCCAGTCTCTTCTCCAGTCGTATTTTGACTTTCCTCCGCGGTCCCGCGCGTTTTATGTAGTTATTTAAACCCGGCGGCGAACGTCGCCGCGAAAACGATACCGCCACGGGTGAATGTTTCGATGTGCTCCGAGGAACTTCGACTATCGACGAAGATAGGCATCCCGACGACTCTCTCTCTCTCTTCGGGTTACTTCCCCGCGACTTGGACGCTTTCACAGTACTTTCACGGAGTTACCTTCGCGTTCGAGTCTCTTATTAATCCGCCGATCGTCTGTCGAATAATGATATACATAAATTTTATATATATACATACATTGTATGTGTGTATATACACACATATATATATAGGATATATAACTTATTTATAAAAAATATGTAAGAGATGTATACTTTTTACAAGAAGGAAAGTATGCAGAGGGGACTTTGAAATTGCAGTAAACGCGACGCACACGCGTCGTCATCGGCTTTGGCCAACGTTGCAACAGCAGAGGATCGTCCCCTCTATTTACGACGTAAGGTAAACTTCTTCTAGACACCCGTGGCATTCACGGTCAGCGTCTGTCTTCGCGTGCTCCGCTTGCTTGGACAGTTTTCACTCTCGCCGACAGACATGTCCGTCTTCCACCTTTTTCGTGCTTCCGTAAAGATTCCGCGTTTGTCTACAAATAAAAAAGAGACAGAGATATATACATACATATATATATANTTTCGGTTCTCTCTTGAAATACACCTTGCTCTCTTTTCATTATCTATTTCCTTATCGGTGTATATTTATTATTATCAAATGTTTTGATTTAAACAAATTTTTTTTGTAATTATTATTATCAAGTATTTTAAAGTCGGCAAAATAATTATTTTACTGTGAAAGCGTAAGAAAGGAGGAGGAGAAACGGCGTGGAAACGATCCAGCAAAGCGTCGCGCGAGCAGATAAAATCACGCGGAGGGCACGACATTTCGGTTCTTTGGCACAGAAAGAAACGCAATTTACAGCGAGATCCGGAATTACAAGTCATACGCGAGTAGTGTGCCAATCGTCGCCCATCTAATTACCCGGCCGAAACCAAAACCGTGCTAAATAGCCGCGCGCTTCGTCGTCATTGTTAATCAGCTTGTAAATAACGAGAACGCTTGTTAACATAACTCGCGCACTATCCTCAGAGACTCCGATAATTTCCAACGATTTCTATCTCTGTTTTCCTGCTTGGTTAATTTCAGAATTTGTCGGGATACAATGGACAGTCTGCCCGGAGAGAGCTGGACCACCGACGTGTGATCGACCAATCGATTTGGTTCCCTCGGAACATCCGCCTCGAGAATAATGGCGAATTCGATCACCCGTACTACACCGATTTAGTGCTCGCTGAAAGCTGTTATCCTGCTGTTATCCAATCAAGTATGCTGTATCATATCTTAAATTGAAATTTTTAGTATTATACAATTTTTAGCCTTTCATATGTACACATCAGATAGAATAATAATATTAAGTGGGACCATAATCCATATAAACTACAACAGGAAAAATTATTTTTCTTATTATATTTTTATGTGGTGAATGAGTGTTTCGGCATTTCATAATTTTAGTTAATGATTTTAACTTACTTTTAAATTAATATTCTTCAACTATAAAAAGAAGTTATGAAATAAAAATTTAAAAAAAAGATATCGAGTCAAGTAAACCCGATTATCGTTAACCCTGTTATCGTTAACAATATTTGACCCAAACGTTAAAAGTAATATTTCCACATTATGACTTTAATATTTAGAGACATTATATTATATTATTAATTAACATTATTAAACAACAGTTTTAAAACATATATAAAATATTACGTCAAAATGTTTATGAAATCCACATAAAATCAATGTTTCGAAAGATCAATTTGATATTTCTTGCTTGTTTAAATGAAAAAGCATACAAGCGATTTGGAGCGATTAAACGCCCAATAATGTCACCGTGATTTAGCAGAGAGTACACGTGAATTATTTCATCGTCAAAGTGCTTATGCCATTCCGTATGTATACTTTGTGTGTAACAGGCCTTTAGTATGCACTAATCCGGTGCAGCGTGGGCGATCAAATATTCGCTATAAGAGAGAGAGAGAGAGAGAGAGAGAGAGAGAGGAAACGCAGGAAACTAGGCGATGTACATTTTGGCGGTGCTCTCAGGTTTTCTGCCGTGGCGTACAGTCGGCACGCACATCCTATCTCGCCGCTGGAATCCTCATATGTCTGTCAACGTGGCTCCCCAACACCTCGGGGCCTCGGATCACTTTGCTCGCGCGAACGCGAGCGTACGAGCGCGGCAATACAAGAGGCGAGGCGCGAGGCGATATCTCGTGTCCCATCCCGCTGTCCCAGCTGGACGAAAATATCACCGGCGACTAGTGGCCAGGACTCAGGGCCGTGCACTCGCCGCGGCGCCTGCGAATAGAAGGAAAGAGTTATTAACCCGGGAACGTCGACGCGCTCGAACGACTGCCGTTTAACTCTTTGACATGTCACTTTGATCCTGTCTCTAACCTACTTCGGCAGATTTATAATTCCAGCTGGAATTTTATTTACAATTTTATGCTCTGCATTCTCTCTCTCTCTCTCTCTCTCTCTCTAAATATAATAATGAGCGAAGGAGAGGAAGATACCTGACGTGTGCATGTGCTGAAGAGAAACTCGTATGCCCGCTTCTTCAGCCTTCAATTACAGAAGTCGTCGAATCGGCGAAGGTTTCGAATGTTCTTGGCTTGGAGTTAATATTTCGGTATCTTTTCGCCATTTTCCTCGAAAGTTGAAATCTAAAATAACTGCGAAAAGGAGGAAACTTCGAGTATATCATACATACCCAAGCAGCACGTAAACGTTCGAGGAACGTTCGCTTTACGTTGGTTTGTTTATATTCAAACAAAGTGGAAACGTTCAAAAAACATACATTTTAGAACCTTTAATATATATTTTACGTAGCAAAAGTATCGCAGTATTACAATTATGCTGCTCTGTTACAATTCCATTTTTTAATTAAAATATATACATCTTGAAGTTTGATTATGTTTATTTACAACAAATTATTTAAAAAATATATTAATTGCTAAAAAATATTAATATATCAATATCTTTATATCCTTAATCTATCTATTAATAATATATTAATATATAAAAACATTCACAAAACATTTCAGTTCAGCATTTCTGCCTACCTGGGATAATTTAACGAGATCCTAGTTAAAACGCGCAGGGGAAAAGAATAATGTTACGCCTCAATTTTTACATGAATTATTACGCGCGAGAAATGTAGGTTATGAATTTATCCAGCTGTTGACTTCCGCTTCACGCGATTCGTAAGTTGAACGAATGACGCGAGATGACGCTATTTGCTGCGTAGTCTCGCGTCGATAATGTCGCACTTCGCACAGCTGATCCGCATGCGTTACCTTTCGACAGCAAAGTGTAAATAATCTCGCAGCACGGGAACGTTGTGCGTAAGGAAATACGACGTGACCAAGCGCGTACGAGTTTGCATTGACGAGATCCACAACAGGAGAATATTTTTCACCGTTGCGAAGGCCCGTTCATGGGTTAACGGTAACGTAAAGCTTGAATTCTGTCTATCATAACCTCACTTCTGGAGATTGGATGCGCAGTATCAGTTAGAATGAATGGTAAGTATGATCGCAAATTTAACCATTAATTTAATTCACTCAACAACGAACTGTCAAGTAGATGATTTTTCCGAGTTGATGATGATTTGAGTTAGGTTGTTATAGTTCGTATTGTTCTGTTCTCTTAGACACTGTGACAGATACTCCAGGCTCCAAAGCCCTGGAGGCTGCCAAGAATATGAAGGACTTAGCTATATTCAAGAAGCCTATTGGTTCTGCGAAAAAGAGGAAGTACAGTCAACCAAAGATCCTGGACGAAGATATGTACATCGAGAAGATGGGTGAGATCATACAGAGGGACTTCTTTCCACACCTGGAAAGGTTACAGGCGCAGAACCAATACCTGGATGCTCTGGAGCAAAACGATGTGAAAAGAATGAGAGAATTGTACGCAAAGTATAGCTCCGGCCGGCCCGTCACGGAGAGGCCAGTCAGCCCGGCGACCTTTGAGACTCCTCAACGTAGGGTCGAGTTGGACGAATTGCCGCATACTCCAAAAGAAGCTGCTCAAGAAGAAGCATCCGCGGAGACGATGAAGAAGGATGGTAAAGAGGAGAACAAGACTGGTCTGGACGATTACTTAAGCACTCACACGAGCGAGGACAACGCTAGTTTCGAAGAGATGATGGTCGAAGCAGAAAACAAACGTAGACTGAAGCACGCGTGGCTCTACGAGGCGGAAGAGAAGTCGAAGGCGTGGCTCGCTATTAACAACACAACCGACGCGACATTGGCGATCGAAGGATCGAGTTCCAGGCCCAAGCAGGTGGACAGCTGGGCTTATAGGAATAAGAATTACATCATGTATATCCCCGATGGAGTGGAGCCCACGGCCGAGGAGAAGATAGAACTGGCTAAGAAGAAGCAGACGGTGATGCATGAGAACACGAGGCTAAGGATAAATCCCTTCAACGAACAACAAAACAAAGAAACCATCAATGAACTGGCAAAGTCACAGTCCAAGGCTAACGACGGCAAGATCGGTGTGGACGGTAAAGAGGTCGTTAGAAATGCGACGCCCCAAGTGAACGGCTACAGTTTCGTGGCGACACCGAGCCCGAGGCCGGGAGAGTGCGAGAGTCCTTTGATGACGTGGGGTCAAATTGAAGGGACTCCTTTCCGATTGGACGGTGGAGACACTCCGTTGCTCAGGACGAGTCAGGGACCTTCCTTTAGGATGGCAGAGCCGCCGAAAAGGGAGAAATTGGCGTTACAGTTGGCAGAGAAAGCCGGTGAGAGACACAGGGATCGAAAGAACAAGGCCTTGGAAGCTGCCAGAAAGTCATTAGCCACGTAAGCAATTGCTCGTGTAACGTACGATCATGTGATTTGCATCATTAGTTTATAGTAAGCAAGAAACACTAAATCAATTTTTCGAAATATTGATTTTATATAGATTTTATAAATATTTTCATATAATATATTGTAAATGTTTTTAAACTGCTACTTGATGATATAATATTTCGAAATATTAAAATCTTAGTGTCGAAATGTTATTCTTAATGTTTGGGTCAAATATTGCCAACAATATCGTTGTGTGCAACATTGAAAGCTACATATTTGAAGGCGTTGCATGTTACAAAATATCGTAACAACGTTGTGTTAATGATTTCTTGCTTCTACCGGATATGAATAAACATCTGACCGTGTAATATACACCATTGGAAAATTCGTAAGAGATCATAAGATATGATAATCTTTCAGGCCATCGCCGAGGTCGACTATAGATCGTTTGAGCACAATGTCTCCTGCGGCGAGAAGATTAGCAACCCAGAAATTGCGGATCTCGGGCACACCGTCGCCCCGGCTAACACCATCGTCGAGGACCCCGTCCGTAGGCGTCAGGACACCCAACACACCGCGTGCGAGTACACCAGCTAAGCGAGCGGCTTCGCAGAAATTGGATACCAGTGTCGCACGGATGCAAGGACCCGTGCTCACTGATAACTTGCTCAATCTACCTCCGCAGCGGCAACGAGCATCGGACTTCTTTAACAAATAAAAACTTACATTGTTGGAGTAACTTTATTTCTTTTTTTTTGGTAAACGATCTCGAGAGTAATTTTAATAATACTGTATAAATATTATAGTTTTTTTGGTTATATTAATGTTAATGAAATCACTATATGATGCAGAAAATGTATTTATAATTCGAGACGAAGAGGATGTATTTATAATATATATGTATATACATGAAATGACTAAACATGTTTCTAATAAGATATATTCAAAAAAATTTCTGGCACGCAAGTACATATTTTAACCAATATTCCCCTTTAGCATCTGAGAAACTAGAGACTTAAAGTTACAAAATATTTTTTGACCGCTTCATTGTAAATTTTGCTGAAATAACAGACCGTTGAATTGTATCTACTGTGATGGAGAAATACGAATCATCAATTTCTAAAACAGTTAAAATTCAACGAATAGCAATTTTGAAAAAATAAATTCTCAATCTGCAATTCTCCGTGGTTAACCCTACGGTTGAAGGTGCAAATTCATGGGATGCTGAACTCGGCGTCGAGTGTAGCCACGTGACTACGTTCGACGCTGGTTCAGCGTGCGATAAATTTGCGCTTCAAGTTGTAGTTATGACTCAGATAAGTAAAATTCCGCGGCGTCGAGAATCTACGGAAATTTAGCTTGTGATTAGGAGAACACAATCAGCGAGGAGGTTACAGGAGGAGTTAAGTTGTGCGAGCTCCTCGTACATTATATTCTCCCGCTAAGAATTTGTGAAAATTCCACGGAACTGCGGTCTACGGAAATTTAGCTTGGTATTAGGAGAACACGATCAGCGAGGAGGTTACGGGAGGAGTTAAGTTGTGCGAGCTCCTCGTACATTATATTCTCCCGCTAAGAATTTGTGAAAATTCCGCGGAACTGCGGTCTACGGAAATTTAGCTTGGTATTAGGAGAACACGATCAGCGAGGAGGTTACAAGAGGAGTCAAGTCATGCGAGCTCCTCGCTGATCGTGTTCTCCTAATACCAAGCTAAATTTCCATAGACCACGGTGGCGCGGAATTTTCACAAATTCTTAGCGGGAGAATATAATGTGCGAGGAGCTCGCAGGATTTAACGCCTCCTGTAACTTCCTCGCTGATCGTGTTCTCCTAATACCAAACTCGAAATCTCCTAATTCGATGAATACACTTTGATGAGGGAACTTTATCTTTTTCATTCAATGCTTAGTGGTCACCGTACATCGATTCGTTCAATTACTGTGAACGATTAAAGTTCAGAATTCCATTTTTACTTCAATATTGAATAACTCAATTGAAAAATAATTGAATCGTAACCTGCAAGTACGCAAATTAAAGGAGAAGGTTCATGTTTTCACACAAATGATATAAATAGCATTTCTTTGCAATTTTTCACTTACACGATACTCAACAAATTTCATAAAAAATATTAGCAATTGACGGATCTCGATTTATATTCGTGTAATATTGTAAAAATAATTAAACTTTATGTCTGTAATTATATCTGAAATCTGGAGGCTTTTCCCTGTAAAATGCTTCTAAACCATCTTATTATCATTAATTTGTTTCAAAATTATAACCCACTGAATGTTATTTATTCTAAAACTTGGAGCTTCACTTTTCTAGCTGATTAAAGCCCGAGAACGTATATACAACGATGTTAGCATGCTGACAAATCAAAAATATATAAAATATAAAATATGAACATTCTCAGAATTGCTCGTATTCTAAACGCGGTGAAAACAGCTGTATTAGAAAAAATCGATAATCACGCGTGATATTTATAGCAAATTTCCTCTTTAGAACAACTAGTAATTTGATTTATCAGCACATTAACACGTTCAGAATACGGATCTAAGTATTTAATTATATAACTTGAAAAAATCAGCTACAAAATGTCTGTACATAACATTTGCGTACTTACTTAGAACATTAATATAAAATATAATGTTTATCTTGTACCAAATTCGGGTCGCTCAATTACCAATTTTTTTCACTATCTACGTCGACAATAAACAAATAAAAATATAAAAAAACCTTTAGAAATGTTGACTTCATGTGTATTTTCTGAACATTTTTATAATAATGTTACATATATTTTTTTTTAATATAACTTCTATTATAAATATAACTATTAATTTAAGTTTTTTGACGTAAAAATAACCTTGATAATATATTAATTTTTTGCTATAATATTACTTTTTCATATTGTTTGGTGTTCGAATTTCACTGCTGGTTTGCTGTCTCAAGAAATTATGTGTGTGATGATCTATAATTTAAATGACTGGTATTTTACATTTTGAAAACACGTTATTACTCTTTTATTTAATCGCATTTAATTATATGGCATCTTAATTTAGATAAAAGTACAAACTTATCATCGTATAGGTAGCTGCAATAATTATCGGCTGCTAAGTTTGTTTCCGAACGGTAATAAAGTATATTTTGAAGATAAAATCTTTTTTATGTTAGGAATGTTAAGTCTTCTTGAACGAAGCACTTGAGTCATCTTATTTTTTATACAAATTTACCACATGTAATAACTTTTAATATTTTATAAATTGTTTTGAATAAAAAGTTTAAAAGAGAGGGAGAGAGAGATAGAGAGAGAGAGAGAGAGGGAGGATATGTTTTATAACATTTTATATAATTTTATAATCTAATTAATTCTGATTTGCCTACTGCACTTGTAGTATATGTTCTTTAATTATATTAATTTATATTTATGTAATAAGTTTTCCTCAATTTGACGATTTATCTCGCAAGTCTCATCTAAAATGTTCACAGTATTATTTTTCAACGCATAATAGTGAAAACTACTCTCGATCATGGGAATAACATCCTTGACCTAACTCTTTCATCATTCACTGTAGCCTGTACACAACTGTCTCCACATCAATTCTACCGCATTTCGTTTCATTATTTTCGTTGCAAATACGGAAGTCAAATTATGTCAACGAGATGGTTGTTTCCTCTTCAACCGAAACCGGTAATCACGATATTCCTGCGCGGTTGTGCGTCATGAAACTATAAAATGCGTTGTGACGTTGAAGCGTATTGGAACACCGGTGATTTCAGGAAGCGACGATAAAATCAAAATAAGTCAGCCGCGTGAAACGCTGCAGCAGGAAGTGTTCGGGCATTCCCGAGCCGTCGAAAACAAACATTGATCGATTGCGAAATCCCGCTCGCAGAAGAACCGGCGACTTATATAAATGTAACGCCAGGAAGAGAAGAAGAAAAAGAGAGAATTGTTGACGGGACAGATATGAAGTCCTCCTTGATCCTGAGGGTCGCCTTGCTACTGACGATAACGCATATTGCTCAGGCACGCAAGTTAGGATGCACCTCTTGCGGAGGAGGTTTAAGCTCAGGTATGTAAATCGTATTCCATTGCAAATTATCCGTCGTCAAGATCACTAATTGGCCTAAACTTGCTACCAAAACAACGTATATTTCATCCGCTCAAAGTGATATCAATCCTCGAAAGGAGCCTCGAGATGGGGAGATTTTTAATACAGCTCCGACTTTCGCATAGACGAAAATATGTAACGATACAAATCTCGACGTCTCAAACTTTTAACTCCAGGTACTAACCCTTGCAAGTGCGAGGACGTGGTGGTGAAAGCAGCTAAGGTGCAGAAGCCGTTGTATCACGCGACTCCGGAGGCGATCAACGAAGCAGCGGCCGTGCGCGAGTCAGGGTCCACTACAACGTTTCCCGGGAACGTCGTGCCCTTTTCTCAATATAGTCAGACTAGCAGATTATATGGAGTCAGTAGTGGTATTAGTCACAGTAGTAGCAGTAGCAGTAGCAGCAGCTCTGCGAGTTCCTCGTCTACCGTCAATTTTCTGGGAGGATCTGTTGGAAGAGACCTGAGTAGCTTCGACCCCTTCGCAAGGAAGTACGAGTCCGGCTGCGGATGCGGGAGCAAGTCCAAAGTGGAACTAAACAGCCTCTTGTCGTCTAACACTCAGGCGCAGATTGTACCCAGGTATTGGCACTGCTTACTCTTCATCCCAACTATCGACCGCTGATCGGCGATTCACGTATTTACTTCTCTTTCCTCCTCTGTATAGCTTCAAAATTTTGGAAAAACCTAAAAGTTGGAAGAAACTAAAAGTTTGAACATTCTTTCGTCATTTTTCCACGGATTCCTTTGGCTTCTGCCTCGAGGGCCCGCGAAAATTCGTTCAGAAGAATTCATGTGTGTTCGGTTGATTTACTTTTCTCCGCAAAGAAGAGAAGAAACTAAAAAAACTGGCGGAGAAATATGAAGGAAACAATTTTTCCGAACTTTAAAACTGTCTACTCTCCTATCTTCTTTGAATATTTCATGCGCGCCGTTCACTCGACAGGTTCCCGCCAATCGGCGACTTGTGCACCCCGAACAAACTGACCAGAGACGAAGTGTCCACCAAAGTGACCCCGGCGTATCCCAAACTCAATTTCCAACAAACTGTCGAGCCTGTCTGCGTGAACGTGGTCAACGGTCAAATCGACAAAGCTGATTTGAGCAAACTCGCCTCGTACAGCGGCACCGGTGGACTGTTCGGTGGTCCCATCGGTACGACTGGTAGCCTTGGTGGCTACACTTCCAACATCGTCAGCAACACACTTGGATACAAATACGGTGGTTCGAGTAGTTACGGATCAAGCTCGTCAAGCGGATTCTCATTGGGATATAAAGACGGATGGGGTAATATCGATAGGTCAGGTACGACGGGCAGTCTCGACACAGGCTGGTATCGGATAAAAAAATCGTACACGGGTTCTAATATAGGTTCTAATGTCGGCATAGAACTGAACTCCGGGACAAGCAGGTTCGGTGGATACGGCACGTCGTACGGGAGCGTTTACGCGCAAGAGCCGATCGATCGCAACGGATGCACCGATTTCGGCGAAGATCTCGGTACGTTTCCGTTGTATTCGCGTGTGATGAGATCGCCGAATCGAAATGACGTTCGTTCGTGCGTGCTTCAGAGCTTCCCGAGGACTACTCGTACCCTCGGCAACCAGCGGACGCGGTCTCGCTCACTCTGGCCTACAAGAATCTCTTCCCGTACACCGTGGTGCACAACAAGAGGTGGTTCGTGCCGGAAGATAAGCTGGCATTTGGGCACAGAACGGTGCCGGTCGAATCGCTACCCAGCAAGAAGCCGTCGGATATACCTGAGGAGCAGCTGCAGATCCTCGATAAGCCAATCGTGGAGCTGAAACCTGCGGCGCCGATTTCAGTGAGCCTCGGCGTTTACAACGAGCAGGAAGAAGCCAAGCTGGCGGAGCTCGAGGCCATCGAGCGCGAGAGGATAAATCAGGAAGAGACCGCCAGCCAGCCGCGGGGGAACTTCATCACGTACGGGTGAGCGAAATACTTGACGTGCGATCGGTCACCTGTCAGACGTGACGTTCTACTTAAACTCGGCTGTTTGTGTTTTGCGATCTTCCTGAACGCACGTCGCGAACTTCTTAGTATTCGACATTATTTTTGAAGCGCGGAGAGTTAAGAAATGTGCAATGTCGGTGCATTCTTGGATTAACCCTCGGATTAGCCACGTAGATGACAAGTGTTCTCCATTTCAAATTGACATTTTCTTCTGATAGACCAATCCAGCGATCGCATTCGTGAATATTCACGCATTTTCCCCGTGCAATTTGTTTTAGAGACCTAGGATACGCGCCAGTAGACGGATTCATAATGCCAGGGAGATTAACAAAGTCCGGACAAATAAACTCCGGAATCGGTTTGAGCAATACCGAAGACGTTATCGGCGAAGGCTGCGGTCCGATGGGACCGCCGCTTCCCGGCTACGTTCCCGGTACAATCGTGGTCAATCGAGAGGTCGTAGAAATCGAAGGAGAGGACGAAAATGACAACCAGAGGAGCGAGGACAACATTCGCCACTACCTGGACGACGTGAGCGACGAGGAAGACGATATCGATGATACGACGTCTGGGATATTCGCTAAACTGAAGAGCACCGCTCAGAAATACGGGCCAGTCATGTGTCCTAGGTGATCTCTTTTTTTTTTAGGAAATGACAAAGATATGGCTTCCTCCAGTTTGAAGACTCACGATCATCAAGACCAATCTCTCATTCGTCGTCTCGATTTTAGATACGGGCACAACCTTCAAAATTATACTAGTCCTAGTCCCGTGTCTCTCTCTTTATGACCTTATTGTTACACAGATAATATAATAATTATACGAAGCTAAGCAAATGCAATTTATTATTGGAACCTCAATCATATTTGTCCTCTTGTGAAAACGATAAAATTAAACTTAACTGACTAATGATTGATAATAATTACAGTTTCCGTTCCACGAATAAAAAGTTCACTGAAAGTTCTACTTGGAATAATAATCGTGGAATAATAATAAATAATCTAATGGAATAATAATAAATAATCTAATAGAAATGCACACAGATCGTTGTAACAAATTCAGAGCTTATCCGACAAATTGAGTCCCTCCACTTCAAAGATCAAATATGCCTCATCACTCGCACTTTTTAAATACTGATTCAATCGTAAAATATGTAGTATCACTGTCTTCAGTTTTTGTACATATAATACAATTATAAGAACAAATATTATATTTTCCGTTATATAAAAATGCAATATATAGTTAAAAATATATATAATAAAAAAAACAATGTTTGCTGTCCGCACTTTTTAAATACCGATCAGTTTTTGTACATACAATATAATATTCCAAGGACAAGTATTATATTTATATATATAATTTATATATATAAGAAAGAATATACAATGTTTGCTGGTGTATCGCTAAAAGTCGGACGACTTTCTGCATAGCCAGCGAATGCGCAGGGCAACGCCGCCAATGAGATTTATAATCTCCCTTCAACTTCCGTGGCTAAAGCACGACCGTCAGCACGTCATAAAGTGTTTCGGCCGAGTAAAGGGAAGCACCACATGGTGATGCACGATGATCGCCACGAAGGAAACATAATGTATCTCCAAGAGTGAGAACGGGCCCGCCACGCGGTTGCTATTTAGAGACGCTACGGAGGAGCTCTCTCGCACTCCTACTCGTCCGAACGTCTTCTCTTCTTCTTTTCTTTCCTCGCGGACGCGCACGTGAAATTTACGATGCGTACGCACGCATCCGAGCTGATTTATTTCATTTACATACGCGGCATAAGTTACAGGCGGCGAAGTGAACGAAACGAGGAGCCGGGCGAAACGACCGCGAGCGAATGAAATATTAATTTACGACGTAAATCTCACAACGTGACCTCTATTAAAAACGCGAATTCTACGGTTCATTATACAGAGCGTATTCTGGACGTGTTAATTGGGGCAGAGAATCTTGGTGCAAAAACGTCGTGATCACGATAGTTTCCGACAGAGTTTAGAAATAACACGGTATCGTTGCAAGTTGCTTTTTCCAGTAACGATTTGATAACGGCGTTATTTTTTTCGGTAACAACTGCAACGCAGTTACATTTTTGGTAACGTTTTAACGGTAACCATCGAACAGTTACTTTAATCGTTACTTTATTTGATTAATGTGTATTTATTAATTGCAAATAAAGAAACAATACTTATTATTTCATTTGATAATAAGGAAGAGACATTACGTACATATCACTAACTTAATATATTTCCTTTGAGATTTATCACAGTTTTAAAAAAAGGAATTAATAATCGCAATATGTTTACATCCGAAATTCAAATTAGATTGGTGAAGCAAAGATGAGAGAAATCTTGTTGCAAGTTACTTGGAAGATTTATTAGACGTCCGATCGAAAGAAAATTCCGCAAACAACGATAAAATATCCGATGATAAAGATGATTATTTTACTTTTTATCAAAAAACAACGTCTTTTCGATTTGAAATAGAGGAACTGCAACAATTTTTTAAAATCTGAACCTTGTAATATCAAAATGTTGAACGACTACTCAAATATTGAAAAATTTTTTATTTAATACAACACATTACTTTTTTTCAGTAGAGCGATTATAGTGTTGGAATTTTTATATTAACAGACGTATTTCGTATATACAGAGGATGTTTTTACGACGATACAATGAAGCGTTAACTCCTATTAAAAATTAATACAGAGTTTTGATAAAATTCAACGACTTTATTTAACAAAAAACCATTGGAAAATATGACTTTTTATCCTTAACTTGTCTTTGATAAATTTATCTTTAACGAATAGACATACTCTTGGACTTACATTAAATAAAGTAACGAAGATAATAACGATTCCTTTTAACGTTATTTTGTGAATAACGGTAACTAGTTACTTTTAAAAAGTAACTTTTCCAATCCCGGTTTCTGAGTTATGAACGATGAAGGATGAGCCGCTGGTGTTATGTAAGAATTTTTGTTTTCACGGAACTCACTTATTTACTAGTTCAAGATGTATATTAATTCGCAAATCGGTAAACGACGTTTTCCGTTGTGCGTCGATAAACAATTCCTCGATGAAGACCGTAATTCCGCCTGGGTGATGCAGGAAGTGACAAACTTTGCGCGGACACGCCACGAGGAAGAAACGCGTACCTTTTAATCAAACAACGCGCAACAAAGAGAGTATTTTGTCGGTATTTTGTCGTTGAACGTTCTTAAATTCAGCTTTCTGGTTTTGTGAGATATTTGTTTTCCGCTAAACAGGAAGCATCCCATAAGCGCTTACTTCCGACGAGACTCCTATATCAAGAGTGCGATATGCCACACATGAGTTAGTTCACTCTCCATTGCATCCAGTAAATCACTATGATAATGGCGACAGCACTGAGATTACGATACTTCATTGTTATTATTGGCGTCAGCTCATTTCCGAGATTTTCTGACGGTTTGTTTCATGAGCTAAACGAGTCACCGTACGAAGGAGTTAAAGTAGTTACGCGCGGGGAACCGTGTCCCGAACCGCGATATCTGCCTGTCAGGATCGAGGTATATATATATATATATATATATATTGATAACTTATCGTTCTAGGCAATATATATTAGTATCTTATCGTGACTTGAGAGACAGCAGTGGAAATATATTATTTCCCAAGTTTTATAAGCGATAATATAAATTACGATAACCTTATGCAACACGGATGTTACAGAAAAAATATCAAAGATTAAATTTTTTATACTTAAATTGCCTTGTCGTTAGTTCACCAGTGAAAGTGTCAAGACATTTCTCGTGCAAACATTACACCGATTAGATCGATCCATTGAAATCTAACGTTCTCTTTCAATACGCCAATACCAGGGTTGGTTAACAACTAGTTAATCAGTTAAAGATTAAGTTAAAAAGTTAATAGCTTTTAACTTAACGTAGTTAATTTTACATGAATTTGCTTTTAACTTAAACTAGTTACTTCAAAGTTGTTAATTTTAACTTATTGATTTTGTTTTGTACAAGCTAAAATAATTCATTAATATTATTAAAGTCTTCGCGAGTTGCTTATAATAGAGAACAAGATAAATAAAAATAATGTCAGAAAAACTTTCTTTTAGTCTCTCTGAGTGCTCTTCTTTGTATGAAATTCTTTGTATAAAATTCTATGCACAAGACAGTCGATAATTTCTTATAATAGACTATCTTTTCATTATTTCACATAAATTTAATCTACGATAAAAATGTTATTTATGTAAAAAACACATGTATGTATATAACTATATGTATACATATACAGTTTTGTTTAATTAACTTTTAACTTTAATAAGTTAATTTAATTTTAACTTGAGTTTTAATTAAGTTAATTTTTGCTTACATAACTTTTAACTTAATTAATTAATTTTATAGATCATTAATTTTTTAATTATATAACTCAGTTAAAAATAAAGATTAATTTAACTCTGGTCAACACGCATTAACGCAAATTCAGATTAAGTTGCAAATTTTTTTTATTTTCCGAAGGCGTCGATATTTTATCGTGTCTTTTAATCGAACGCATAGCTTCACGTAACGATTAAGTTTGCATTCGCGAATGAAATAATGTGCAGAAGCCTGCTCAAGCTGCAATCGCGGAAAAGACCGCATCGGAAAAATTATATCAACCGCTCAGATTGAAATACGAAACGATCAACCCGCTGCCTCGACCGCAGTATTTATGTCAAGAATATCCAATCTCTATTGAAGTACCCGAAGTGCAGCCTCGGGAAATCGCCACGTACATTTCACTTCCTAGGAAATCCTACGATTACGACATCCAGATTCCACCGACCGAACAAATCCCAACTTGTTACAACTTCGATTTTCAAGTGCTTCCGTCCAATCCGTAAGTATCCTGAAAGTATTTATTACCCATTCAACTCTTGAAAAAATAAATCATACCTGGATCACGTGGTTTACCGTCCTGAGATTTATCTACGTAATATATCGGTTTTACATCATTTCAGGATAATAACAAAAGTCTTTCCAAGTGATCAAACGTTTCTCTGTACTTTAAATATATGACTATTAATATATTTGATCTTATTTCAGAACGGAAGCGAAAATGGATTGGTCGTATAATCGAGATTTCGCTCCACTTTTAAACGGACTCACCAGCAGAATCGACAGAATTGTAATTCCCGCTTGTGAAAATCCATCCTGTAGCTGTAGATTCTGTAGAGCTTTAAGTTACGTTTAATAAGACCGTACTTTTCGTCTTATGCGAAAATAAAATATATGACGATCCAACACGAAGGAAATAAATGAAAAAAAAATGTGAGAAAATACGATACGTCGATCTTCGATATCCCTTCACTCTTTTTTACATTCACACTTTAAGTTACGCTTTTTTATACTTTCACGTTAGAGCGCTGATTTGTGATTATTCACAAACGCGAATACTGAGATGAGCGTTGGTGCACCGAGCACAAATAAATGAACAATCAACCGTGCTAATGTTGATAGATCGTGCTCGGTTACGAGGAACATCGCAGATCGGTATGGATAATCTCACGCAACGTCGGCTCATATCTGAATTGTCGATCTTCTTCATCCAACAATCTTCGATGTTGCCTGATGCAGTCACGATCTTCGTGCCGTATCTGCACGTGATAATAAGGGTCCTCAAGGTATATGAAGCAGCCTGGTGCAATCGGAGTCATCGAGTTCCCATCGGGACACATCATGGAGCACAAGTGTAAAATCCTTGTGGCCTTCGCTTTCGCGGCCTTCTTATCCTTGAGCTCGGCGGCTTCCATCAAGGAAGATTTTGGCTTTGAGAACTTGGACAAACATCTCGATTTGCCACAGACCTTCCGCGATAAGAGGCATCAGAGCGAGCATTTCGATCTTCTCGCGGCTGAGAAAGATGCCGCGGGAGATGATCTGTCGGAATCGCTCGACAAGAGGTCGATCATGGAAGAGATCAAGGAGACAAGCCTGGAGCTCGAGAAGGGTGAGGAGAAACGAAGTGCGCACAAGGAGAACAGCGACGCTGAGGAAAATATTCAGGTAATTATTACAATATTAATTTTACTTTACTACCGAAAACTGAGAGAACGGGAGTCTCGGAACGAGAATAACTCTAATGTTTCTTCTTGCAGGTCGACGCAGCTCCATTCAAAAACGTGCACAACGTTGTCCACGCCTTGTTGTACACGAAGGACCTGGACTTGGTCGAGAAGCTGCAAGAATTACGAGAGGTATTCGACTGAAATTCACACGCAATATAGCATAAAACTATATTATTTGCAGTAGAAAGAAAGATAGAAATCAATATTTCACTACTAACGAGTTAAGACCATATCAATTTAATTATTTCAAGTGAAACTATTGATAAATGTTGTTTATTATTCAAACGAATAAAATCGGTCAGCACAAGCCCAGCGAAAAATGAACATCGAATCGACGTCGACTTGACGCAATTTCGATCTTTTTAACGTCGATTTGACGTAGACGATACATTTCTTGCCGGGATGTTTAACGGAAATCGGAACTCACGAGACGTTCATTAGATTCACTCGAAAATGATAAAATTAAGCACGCGCGATTAAGCGGAATGCCTTGCAGAACTCCACCGATGCCGACAACAAACTCAACGACAAATTACTGAAACGTCATATCGACGATGCGTTATCCGACGGTATCCTGGGAGCGAACTTCTTCGAAGACGTCCCCTTGGAACGATTGGACGCGCACTCCTGCGAGGTCGAAGCCTTCGACTTCGGCCACGTGCACCATTCGGGCTTGCTGAGCCACCAGTTATTCTGCGAGATGAGGATATTGCACCACTACCTGCTGCACTCCTACCGTCACTTGAAATCCGAGGTCAGCCTGGGACCTTTGATCGGCGACGAGTTCAGAGGCGACCTTTTCGGCAGTTTTTACCGCCACACTCCGGAACTGATCGAGACCATCATCAAGGAGCCCCATCATCTGCTGTCCTTACCGGGAATCATCTGCGACATCGTGCCGTTCCACGGCATCTTCCGCGCCATTCACCGAATCTTCCACGTCTTGCTGAAGGTGCTGCACTTCGTACACGAGCTGGTTAGAGAACACCTGCACCACATCTTAGAGCACATCCTTCTCCATCATCACTTGGGCCACCACCTGCTGCGCTTGATACACCACTTAGGACACTTCCATTTACTGGAGATTCTTGGCCTGAAACTTCCGCTGAACGAGGTCGCAGAACCGATCCTGCCCGCTGTGACCGAACACGATAGCGAAATCTACATCCCAGACTACTACAACTCGTTCGATGAGATACTCCATTCCATCCGAGGCTTCTACGACGGCTACTTCGCGTCCGGAATACACGACTTCTTCAAATCTGACATAAGCGGCTTATCCTCGGTCACGTCGACCTCAGCGGTCAGCTCGTTCCTGTCGACGATACCCTTCTTCAACAACTTCGTGCCGTCCATCGACGTGGACGCAATCAGTCCGGTAGTCCACGGCTTCGGTACATTATTCGCTCCAGTGATAGGCGGCCTAGGCTCAGTGATCAGTCCGGAAGTTGGCTACGGTTCTATAGGAGAACCCGTCGAGACCGAAACCGTGAGTACTTCCGTGTCCAGCGCAACTAGCGAGGTCGACATCAACGGTCCAGTATTGGACAGTCCAATATTAGAGGGTCCTATAGCTGACTACGACTACGGCTATGACTCTTATCCAATAGCTTCTACTGTTGCAACCGAAGCAGTAGCTTCTGCCGCGGCTAGCGCGTCCAGCTCGGCGTCCACCGTCGGCGTAGGCGGCCCGATAGTAGCGGGATTCGGTCCTGGCTACGGCTATGGATATGGTCCAGAGTTCAGTCCTCTAGGCTATGGTTACGGCTATAACCCTATTGCAGCCGGTGTTCCCGTCGCAAGCGAAACGGCAACTTCTGCCGCGGCTAGCGCGTCCAGCTCGGCATCCACCGTCGGCGTAGGCGGCCCGGTAATAGCGGGCCCAGGGATCAGTCCTCTAGCTGGCCCCGGCTATGGTTACGGCTATAACCCTATTGCAGCCGGTGTTCCCGTCGCAAGCGAAACGGCAACTTCTGCCGCGGCTAGCGCGTCCAGCTCGGCATCCACCGTCGGCGTAGGCGGCCCGGTAATAGCGGGCCCAGGGATCAGTCCTCTAGCTGGCCCCGGCTATGGTTACGGCTATAACCCTATTGCAGCCGGTGTTCCCGTCGCAAGCGAAACGGCAACTTCTGCCGCGGCTAGCGCGTCCAGCTCGGCATCCACCGTCGGCGTAGGCGGCCCGGTAATAGCGGGCCCAGGGATCAGTCCTCTAGCTGGCCCCGGCTATGGTTACGGCTATAACCCTATTGCAGCCGGTGTTCCCGTCGCAAGCGAAACGGCAACTTCTGCCGCGGCTAGCGCGTCCAGCTCGGCATCCACCGTCGGCGTAGGCGGCCCGGTAATAGCGGGCCCAGGGATCAGTCCTCTAGCTGGCCCCGGCTATGGTTACGGCTATAACCCTATTGCAGCCGGTGTTCCCGTCGCAAGCGAAACGGCAACTTCTGCCGCGGCTAGCGCGTCCAGCTCGGCGTCCACCGTCGGCGTAGGCGGCCCGGTAATAGCGGGCCCAGGGATCAGTCCTCTAGCTGGCTACGGCTATGATTACGGCTATAACCCTATTGCAGCCGGTGTCCCCGTCGCAAGCGAAACGGCAACTTCTGCCGCGGCTAGCGCGTCCAGCTCGGCGTCCACCGTCGGCGTAGGCGGCCCGGTAGCAGCGGGTCCAGGGATCAGTCCTCTAGCTGGCCCCGGCTATGGTTACGGCTATAACCCTATTGCAGCCGGTGTCCCCGTCGCAAGCGAAACGGCAACTTCTGCCGCGGCTAGCGCGTCCAGCTCGGCGTCCACCGTCGGCGTAGGCGGCCCGGTAGCAGCGGGTCCAGGGATCAGTCCTCTAGCTGGCTACGGCTATGGTTACGGCTATAACCCGATAGCAGCCGGTGTTCCCGTCGCAAGCGAAACGGCAACTTCTGCCGCGGCTAGCGCGTCCAGCTCGGCGTCCACCGTCGGCGTAGGCGGCCCGGTAGCAGCGGGTCCAGGGGTCAGTCCTCTAGCTGGCTACGGCTATGGCTATGGTCCAGGGTTCAGTCCTCTAGCTGGCTACGGCTATGGTTACGGTTACAACCCTATCGTAAACCCGGTAGCAGCCGCTGTTCCCGTCGGAACAGTAGCTTCTGCCGCGGCTAGCGCGTCCAGCTCGGCGTCCACCGTCGGCGGCCCAGTAGTAGCGGGTCCAGGGGTCAGTCCTGGCTACGGCTATGGTTATGGCCCAGTAGCGCCCATTGCCCACCCTGTGGATACCGCTGTCACCAGTTCCTCCGCGTCCAGTTCATCCACCACCACCACCGTCGTTGAATCGCAACCAGCGATCGCTGTCGAAGCACCCATAGTAGTTCCGGTAGCCGCTCCAGTTTCCATCTCGGAGACCACGGCGGTGGCGACAGCGAGCTCTGCCGTGGTTGAACCCGCTGTCGTGGAAGCAGTTCCCGAAGTCGTCGACTGCGCACCGGTTCCCACTGCCACCATAGCTGCCGCGTCCGCCACAGCGTCCGCCTCTTCAGTCTCGGAAGCAATCCCTGCGCTTCCGTACAACGGCGGCTTCGCGCCCGCCACGACTGCGGCGGCTAGCGCGGCCGCCTCCAGCAGCGCGACCGTCTCCGCGATCAACGATGTGGCCGAGCCGCTTCCATACTCCGGAGTCGCCGACTACCCCAGATTCTCTCTGATCTACCCCTATGGCCAAGGATTCTACCCTGCGTATCGGGCTCCCGCCGCAACTGTCTCGTCGACGACCAGCACAGTCATTACCAAGCGCAACTTCAGCTTCGCCTTGCCCAGGGAAAAGATCATCGATGTCTTAGGCAGCGACTGCATTGTGCCGGGAGACGTCGTGACCGTCACCTTGAAGAACAAGTCTGTCTTGTACGGTAGCGTGCTGGACGCCATCAGTCCGATCAACTTCAGCTTCCTCAGGCCGAATCTGAGCGGCGCTCGATACTGGAACATCCTGCACAGCGACTTCAAGGATCCCGAATGCATCGGGATATTCAACGACCCTGCGCTCTTGAACATCTATTAGGTTTCAGATACCGTACACGGTGTCTCGCAACTAGTCTTAAATCATTACCGACTATCAACATGTATTAAACAATTATAATCTGGTCATTTGCAAATAAAGACCTGTCCTCAAAATGATCGCATTAATCCTTCTACCTGGACAACTCCCGCAATGAAGTCCATTTTTTATAATTTATTTTAGTAAAATGATACAGAATTCATCAAACATATGAGTCAAATTGAATCTTAAACAGCAAGAAACAGTTTTTGGATATTGTTTATATATTAATATTAATTAAACTTATTACAAGACGAATTTTATCAGACGGTTTGGTCTACTTGTTTTCTCCGAGCAGAGTTATCTGAAACCAAATTATCAAAAAAATTTATGTTCAGAACACTTTTGTCTATGCACTGACGTAGCCAATTTAAAATATTCGAAGAAATAAAGAATTGATACAAATTTAAGGAAAAATCTTCTTCCGTCGAAAATTCTCGTGGTTCTTACTAATTAAAAAAGATTTAATACTTTTTTCTACCTCTGTGTCAGTGCATAAAAACATTAGTTATGAATATTTCGATGTATTATTCGATGTATTATATAAATCAGACAAATAGTTTTCGAATTATCGTGTAGCTTGAGAAACATGATTTTAAGATAAACGCATTCAAAGTCTTGCAATTTGGTAATTTCAACTATTTCTAGGCCACTGAAAGTCGTTTTGAAGACATACTTTCAAATCATACAATTCAAGCTTTCTTATTAATTGGATACATGTATCTAAATAACGTTCAAGTAAACCATCTCTGCTTAGATCTTTATAAATTTCTGTGTCTCGCTGTGTTATGCACGACATTGGTCACAATTGGTAATGATTGTAACTGCAAATCTTCAAATCAAACCACTTGTATATTATTTTCAAAACTATATTTAGATTTGTAAACCTCAATTTAAAGCAACAAACGGAATTTCGATTTTTTATGCGTCAAGATGGCCTAAGCTCTTAAGTGTTAAGAGTGAAAACAGCTAAAGATTCAATATTACGTAGCATATAATAACCTTCAGCTGTTAACATCATTTATTATCTTCATACGCACTCCTCGAACCACTTGCGGGAATTTTTAGTTAAATCGATTGGAAACAGATTTGGTATTTTTCAAAGGATCTGCACGTGTTTGATACGAGTGTATTTACACAAATGTTACGAAATTATGTACCGAGTGTGAAAGATATTATTATCTGTTGTAAATAAGAAACTTGCCATCTTATAGATGTTTATTTTCGCAGCACGTCGAAAATAAATCAGTCGAAAATATATAGGTTTAGTTTAAGTTTGAACAATGATCCAACATTTTACGTACATCATAATGCGCAATTGCGTTATGAATAATACGTGTTTCACGTAATTAATAAAAACTACGTAGAAATATTTTAAATTATCAATTTGTATAGATAGTACTCCATGCCATTACACGCAGTTAATCGGATTATCGCACGGTTAATGCATTTTTGTAAGCAGGCTGGATGAAAAATTCGCTAACGAATTATCGTAATTGAGCCGAGAGGATGTCATGAGATGGCTTACTCATATTGATTGCCAGGTTCGTAAAAGTACCTTCACCATTCGATTATAGCATGATTATTGCAACGCACACTGTTATCGGCTAGTTAATTCTTCAGCATCTCATGCGTGTCGAAAGACAATTATCAAGTTTACCTCGAAGATACTGAAATATTGAGTTATAAAAAACTATATGGACTCTTATGTATAAAAGTTTCATTCAAATACTTTTTGAATTCTTTGGTGCTATTTTGTGGCCTATGATAAGTGAGAAGTTATCATTGCACGCGGTATCACGAGATATCGCAGCCGTAATAAACATCATCGATTAAGTCAGTAGACAATTAATATAAATTATTGACAATATTTCTTCACAGACTGCCATGCTTGAACAGTCAACGATATACGTCATCATACCACCTCATCAGAATAAAAAACGCTGTTATATCAGACGTTACCATGTTTGGCATGATTTCATCGAATCGATAATTAACCATTTCAATGTATGATGTATCGTTATCGTGTGCAAGGCGTAAACGCTATTCAACCGAATTGGTATAAATGGTCCATTTTAAATAACATGTCGACAAATAATCGCTAGAATAAAGTCATGGATACAAGCGAGAGGCCTGGTAAATAAATTTCGAGAAATATATAAGGATATTAGATCGAACTGACGGTATTCCTCCACGATTTTTCAATTTTATCGTCTTCATCAGACAGTATCCACAATGGCACGTGTCATTTTCCTAACAATTGTACTGATGGCCTTGTGTTATACCATTCAGGCAAGTCGTGATAATAATAATCATCATAATATAAAAGCAAGTATTAACGATTCAATGAGAGTGTCAAGAAACGACTGAGCTAAGTCTAAATTCGAACGAAATTTACCGCACTTACAGAATATCGTAAAGTATACTGTTAAAAGAAGCTAAATTGTTGAAGCTATAAATTGACATTGCCAGCTTATGTTGTAACATGTGCGCGTTTCACAATATATAGTTTATTACTCTATAATATGATATATGATAAGTGTCTTTTAAAATATATAGTACTTCAATTTTTATTATTCTATATCTAATAATATTAGTTATAAAACTTATTTGAAATATAAACAATTGCTTTTATTTGTTTGAAATCGCTAGGCCGAACCATTGTCAGAAAAACAGATAGAAATATCGAGAGAAATCCTTGAAAACAAGTTGGAAGAAATAAATGTGCCCGCAGCAACTGGTTATAACGAACAAGGCGAACAATACGGCATAGGCAGCAATGTCGGCAGCAGTATCGGCGGAATGGTGGGCGGAATTTTTGACGGAATCCTTCGTATACCAAAAATAGTCTACGAAGAAGCTCAAGGAACTGTAGAAAATTTGCAAAACCTTAATAAAGAAATGCTCAGACTTAAAAGGCAAACGAGACCGAGATTTAATGAGCTGGAAGACAATAATATATTCAGAGGGATAGGACTTGCCAAAATGTTGGATATAAAGAGGCTTTTGTTACGGAAAGGAGTGGATGAATTCGGAAATATATTGATATCGACAGGAAATATGGTGGGAGAGGGTGTGAAAAATCTGGGCGATGGAGTACAGAAGGGTACAGAGATGGCCGTAGAGGGAGGAAAAAAGATCGTTGATATTTTTCTATAGAAAGAGTCTTATATAGAAAGAGTGAGGGTAAAATATTCGATATGATGTTCTAAATAAAACTGGCAAATAGTCTATGTTAAAGGACACTACGAAAAGATCAGATACTTGTTCAGATAATTAATCTTAACTTCGAAATGTAACTTAGATTCATTCAAGGTTGATGTTCAAAAACGCCACATGCTTCTGATAATATCAGGGACTCTTGCATTCCCTAGAGAATTTTAAGGTTTCCACTCAAAATCCAAAAGAGTTCAGTGATGTTAAGCCTAATGAGTAAAGTTCTGTAACGCATATTATTTGTCCATTATCGAGCATATTAATTATTAAATGTCGCGCATGGCGCTTTTACCTTAGACAGCGACATCAACATCTTTCCTTTTGCCAAATTGCGATCATTACTAACGTAACAACGTGATGTAACAGTTATAAATATTTTATTTGTAAAATAAAAAAAACTATTTTTTGTATAATAAAGAACGCATTAACACAATCGACTTCGGTCTCAGCATGTATCGCGAACAAATCAATAAACACATTAAAGCATTACAACGGAAATTCAATCAACCTATTCCATATCCTGTACCTTTAAAGAGAATAGATTGACGTCCAGTTAGAAACTTCAAAATCGTCGCCTTTGAACATCGCGTAAAAGGAGGTAGGAGGCATCTTATGCGAGATCATCAAGTTTATTTCAAAATATCGAGCGGGATATAACATCGAGGATAATGAAATATTGAGTTATAAAAACATATGGACTCTTTATATATGTATAAGGCATTTATCCAAGTGTTTCATGAATTTTGTGGCACCTATTATATCAGGTTGGTGAGAAAGTCTGTTCGTATCTTATGCAAAAAGGGAAAAAATTGTTTTTCACGGAAAACGCTTTTATTTTAATCGTCAATATAGTCTCCGCCTCGGTCTAATGACCTTCTCCCATTGATCTACAAGTTAAAAAATTCCGCCATTAAAAAAAAGCATTAGTTCTGAAATTAAAGGAAAGATCTAACTCTCTTTGAACTTTGCCAAATTTTTTTCCGTTAAGCAAATTTTACAGGAGGTCTGAAAAAATAATAGTCAAATGACGCGAGGTCAGAAGAATATGGTAGGTGTTGGAGAAGTTCCCAATTAAGCTCCACTTTTTCTCAACGTGGATGCGCTTATACGGAGGCGAGCATTGTCCTGGTAGAAGAAGATACCTTTACGGCTGACAAGTTGGAGCCGGAGCTCCTTGAGTTTTGTTTAAACTCTGTCAAACTCCTGACAGTACAGTAGTCCGTATTGGTCGTTTGGTTGCTTGATAGGAGCTTATAGTGGACAATTCCGCACACATCCAACCACACACTTAACATGATCTTCTGCCCGTGGATGTTCCGCTTTGGAATCCTTTGGGCTGAACTTCCGGACTCATGACACTTTCATGTTTTTGCACCACATTATCATAGAAGATCCATTTTTCATCGCACGTAATCAATCGACCAAGGTTCGTTGCGATGCTTTGAATACAGACGCGTCAAGTAGAGCGATTCAAAATACGAAAAAATTTTCTGACCAACATGAAGTAAGAAGTTATCACGGCACATGATAGCACGAGATATCAAAGCCGCAGCAAATGCCATCGACTAAGCCAGCAATTAACGTAAATTATTGATAGTATTTTCTTATAGCCATAATTCAACAACAGTCAACATACGTTATCATAATTCTTATCAAAGTAAAACAGTGTTATATCAGATGTTATAAACGTTTGACTTGATTTCGTGAAATCAATAATTAACTGTTTCAATATATCATGTGTTCTTATC